CGTGGTAGCTAAACTGAACCAAATGGAAAAAGAATTTTTAAAATCGGGTCGTAAATAATGGAAGAGTTGAAAACCTCCTCCGTTTTATTGCAAGTAGGTTGTAAATAACATTTCGTTTCTTGCCTAAGTGACTCTTCTTGCTTTAGTGCTTTTAATTTGTATCTAAGAGCTGTCACCCAGGTAAATAAAATAACGATAGTTCTTTTTCTAAAAGAAACGATAATATTCTTTGATACTAATATTTTATTTTGAAAGACAAAACCTTCAATCGAACATCCTAAAAATAAATACTAGAAATGATAAATTCTTTATCGATCGAGTACCTCAGTCCGAATATTCACTCATATCTCATTACATACCACACGATTCCACAAAGCGATCTCATTACTGCCGTTTCACTTTACACTTCCTGCCTATTCGTGTGCAATCTGTAGTGAGCAAATCCGTTAATCTTATTTGGAGGGCTGACGTGCACGTGGCGCCACGTGGCGTGCAATCGAACTAATCTCGGTGACGTACGCGTTGGCGGGAAAAGCGCGTGCGCCGTCGCGATAACGCCAAGGAACGCCATTCATTCCCTCTCTTTTGTCGCAAACAATTGCTTAGTTATTTATAATATTTTGCCTCAACCTGCCACCCTCGCTACTGTATTCATCTGAACTTAACCTTATAATCGCGTAAAGCTTGACACGTTTGCCGTGGGAGGCGATAGCAAAGTAATATCTGTTTGCTGCTACTCGATATTAATTTTCTTTAGGGATTAACTTTATCGGCTTAATACTCATAGTGCACATAATTTTTTTACGTGCCAATTTCAACATCTCACCATTTAGACTGTACGAAAAGAGATATTTAGCCTAATGGCTTAGTGTCCGAGCGATCTTTTAAATCGAGATACGGTATTTTATTGATTGAAAAATTATACCCAATATACTCGACTAACCTAAGTTCAAATCCCGGTCTCGGCAACAATGCAAAATTAAATTGTAATTTTAAACGCTGACCAATCACGTGCTCAACTGAACTCAGTTGAAGGAAACCTGCATATTTTTGAAATAATAACAAACATAAATAATTATTTACGCACGTAAAAAGTTATAACATAAATTTATATTATATTATTTTATCTCCTGTGCAAGTTCTGTTTGTTTGTTTAATTAAATAACTTTGAATTACAGTTCATTTTAAAGTTGTCATTGGTTGCCATGGTAATACCGTGAAGTTGGTCGCTTTGCAACCAACTACATCATGTCGCTTTATGATTGTATTTATAAGTAGTCTAACTTCAAAATATGAATAACACCTTGTATTGACTAACCGCGAAACTGCCCAGGAACATTGGGATCGAGCCCAGACGGCAATCATCACAGCGGGGGTGCGAGTTCTTAGCGTTTCTAAGGGAAGTCACCTCATGGACAAGGAGACATGGTGGTGGAATGACAATTCGGGATAAGAAGGCTGCATTTAGGAAGTGGCAAGAAACCAACTATCCTGAAGACAAAGTACATTACATAGCAGCCAAACGTGCCAGCAAAAAAGTTGTAGCTAAAGCTCACAGCAATAAGCTAGAAACTGCGGAGGGGCAAAAGCTCATACACAAACGGGTATGTGGCCAGGATGAAGCGACGCAAGATATCACAAAATGTCTTTTCGTCAGGGATTCCCAGAGCATGCTGTTGAATCCACGCATCTGTGAAGCATGGGTGCGTGCGCTGTGAAGCAGTGGCGTTTCATTTTTATTACCCCTATTTACAAAGGAAAGCGTAGTGTTCAAGATTGCGGTAGTTACAGGGGATCAAAATCACGTGCCACACCATGAAGCTCTTCGAACGCATTATTTATCGATCTCAGGCTTCGCCGAGAGTACACTGTCTCTGGATGTTAATATTGCTTTCGTTCCCGCTCCCGTTATCGGGCATCGTGGATACTATTTTTTCTCTCATGGAGGCATACAGGGAAAAAGGAGAGCTCTGGATCGAGAAATCCTGGACTGCAGGTCTGGATCGAGAAATCCTGGACCTGCAGAAGGCCCTTGATTGTGTGCCCTGCCAATGTATCTGGTGGACATTGTGATTGAAAGGCGTCCCTGAGACCTATGTAGACATTACCAGAGACATATACCTCAACGATATACGATTACTGTATATATCGGCAAACGTTGTTTTATATATTATTTCTAGAGGAATCGGAACGCGTTCAAAAATATTATATATATATATGTAAACGTAATGTATATACGTAGAAACATTAATAATTTTAATAAGTTTTGTATTATAAAATATAAAATCATAGCTATTGCATAGCATTTTTTATCAACTCACGCAATTATAATTATTTATTTATGCAGTTTCTTTTTTCTTTGACATTAAATCAAGTTACACTTTTTGAGCGTGGTTACTGATACGGAAAAAATTTTTCTTCTTTTATTGAATAAGTGGGAAGTCAATATCATTTAAAATATTTTTATTATCTCACAACACATGTAGGTTATTCAGGAATTTTTATCATTGAAACTATAGGTTTATGGTAAGTGAAAAAAGAAACATAAGTTTGAGACTTGATATCCTCTAAATACCATATCATCATATGATATGATAATATTGTAATATCGTATTATAATCTCCATCCGTGCGAGCTTCGTACAGTCGTACCATATACATACACGTTAAGCGAACCTTCGACCGACCTACATGGTAGGCGGAATGTTAGGTTTTATTTTCTTTACGGAATGTCTTGATTCGGTCGTCGCGCTCAAAGCCCGCGATAAAAGCTTAAAATCCGTTGTATAATATTTTAATGAGTTAAGATAAAAAAATGGCAAAAAAGAGGATACTAACGGAGTTTTATTCACATGTTTCTTCTCCGTTAGAGGAACCTCATTACTAAACGGTGGTAAGTTAATTAATTTATTAATTTTGCTGTTAGCCCGGCGGCTGTGACAGCTTCGGCGAAAGAGTTCCGCGGGCAGATGACCCACGGACTCCGGAGAACAACGTGCACGACGGTGCACGACGCACAACGAAAGATGGACAATCGACTAGAAGGGGGGGGGGGGACACGACACGATCCAAGGGTCATCAATCGATCAAATCGAGGTTCGAACCTCGGCTTGGATCGCAATCGATATGGGGACCTACCCAGAGGAAGGCTACGTATTGGCGTTGCGCTATCGCTTATGAATGAATAATTATACAAACAATTATTTATGAGAGCAATTTGTTTACGAGGATGATTAAATGATTTTGATTTTGCTGACATAATACTAAAATATCCCAATCTGGCATTTTGTCATTCCGTTAGTAGTTAAGGCCTGATTTATCCCAGTTGGTACTTTTACAGATTGATTCGGTGATAGCAGCTGGTTAGAGAAGATTTTAACAGATTTTGATTACAAGTAAAACGTAAACTAGTTAAAATTTTGTGAGTGATTATATTCATTTTTAAACGCAGTATCTGTCATATTTTTTCTAGTTATCATTTGCTCTGTGGCTAGAGCGTCAGGTCGCGAATGCCGAAGACGTGGGTTCGATTTCCACAGCGGCGACAATCTTTTCGTACTTTTTCTACATGTTTCAATGTTCAATCTTAAGTGCAGAGATTAGCACTATAAAAAAAAACTTTAAAATATTTTTTCTAATTATAAATTAACTTTTTTTTAATTTAATATAAAAAAATTAACTATTTTGTTTGTCACACATTTGTTTATTCACATATTTGAAAAAAACTACACAATTTTTAAACACGAAATATAATATAATAGTATTGGCAGCATTGTATACAGTGTGTCGTTACCATTGCGACAATAAATGAACACACGTCTAACGCTACTTGCCAATAATCATAAAAAAGTATTAACGTTAAATAAAATCCATAATTTAAAAATAATATTTTTCAAACAAACTAATTAAGTAAAAAAGAAACAATGTTGTAACATCCTATACAACTACAACTGACTGATTCAAACATTCAGAGATTTTTTCATTCGTTGCCACAGCGTCGCATTACAAGCCTCTCCTTCTAACAGTATGTTTTGTCTCTTTTAAATTCATTCAATCCATTCATATGCTTTGTGACCTTTAGAAATGAACTTTACGTTACAGTTTTATACGTAAGGATGTTCTAAAATTCTTTGTTTTGCAAAATTTAATAACTCTGTAAATATTGATGTTTAAAGAAAGTAAATGTTTAATCGAATTTTAAAAAGTTATTCTCTATATGTGTGTTCATTTATTGTCGCGATGGTAAAGACACGCTGTATATGTATATATATATAACAGTGACTAGTGTTGGCTGCATTGGCTTATGTAATATTTTAAATTGTTCCGCCATAAACTCTTGCCAATCGGATATGTTCAAAAATATGCAGCTAAGCGGGAAAAAGACAATGGATTCACAGACTAACTAGAGATGCTTATGCATGGATTTAAAGGCATGTAAATGTAAATGGATTTAAAGGCATGTTTAATTCAGATCTTTTATAACTGAATGATGCTTATTTCCATTGTTTATTGTCTGATTCTTAAAAATAATGAAAATGATTATAACGTTACAATAAAATGTATTTAATTTATATAAATATTTTTCAAGTCAATGAAAAATTTTCAAGGTCAAGTATATTAATTAAATTAATTTTTAAATAAAACAGTTTTGATTACCCAGATAGTTAATTTTTTCCGATAATTATTCTACCTTATTAGATAATTTAAAAAAAGGTGACTTTTTTCATTTACGAAGATTTTTTTGAAAACAGTGGATTTTAGGAGGTTTTTGAATTTCTTTAGTTTTTTTTTTCAACAGTTGGTAACACTGCATTTGAGTTTTGAGTTTCATTTTCTGTTGTCTGTCTGTTTTCTCTATGAATTTGGCTGATTGTCAATCTCAATTGTTGTGAGTGAAATATCAAAATTATTTACTATTTTATGTTTAATGTGACTTATATTGTAAAATAAAACTTAAAAAAATAGTTAATTGATTATTTTATTGTTACCTAGTAAGTCAAAATGGTGGAAGAAGATGAATATGCATGTGTGAACAGATCACAACTAAAAATCAAAGATAATTCTGGAATTAAAAAGAAAAAGAAGAAGAAATCAAGTAAAGAGACCCAAAAAGTCATTGAAAACGAAGTAAAGCAACAAGTAAAACAGCAAAAAAATAGTGATTCGAAAACAAAAGCCGAGCTTGCATTCCTAAAAATGCAAGAAAAAATGGTAAATTACAAACATTCTTTTAGTCTTATTGTTCCTATTGTCTTAGTGTTTTTATCTTACGATATAGCAATGCCAATTTAACAAATACATGGCATAAAAGCAATGGCTTATAGGAATGGGTTGTTTATGAGATTTAATTAACAATATAACTTGCATAGTAAAATTTTCCATTAGCGCTGGGTTTTTTCGACCTAAAATTAAAATTTTATTTGGTAAAGAAAAATCACTAATGAAATAATCAACAAGCAGAATTCTCTCGATAGAAGGTGTCTTACAGTTTTCAAGAAAAAAATATTTAAAACTATGACATTGCTCGCTTCCTTTATTATATTTATCATGTTGGCAGTACTGTGTATTGAGTTTTGAATTCAAATTAGTAAAATGGCGGATTTTTTAAGTAAAAATAAGAAGTTGAAACTTGTGTGTGCTTATAATAATGTTAACTTTAACCATATTTTAATAATGATAACTTAACCGTTATTATAATAATGTTAACTTTAACTGTTTAACCTTTCTGTAAAAAAAAAATATCAACCCACAACTCGACGGATGTCAATGGAAAACCTGAGCCCATTGTTGTTGCAAGAAAATCTATAAATAAGAAATGACAATAAGTATCACTGTGGATAGTAGATAAATCACTTGTGCATAGTTTTAACTTAATGCACAAATAGAGATAATTAATATAATATACAACAAGTTCTTTCACATTAAATTTGAATTGCATTTTCAACAATTTTTTTTCTTGCAGAAAAAGCAAAGAATTCAACAAAAAGCTGAAATGACCCATAAGCAGAGAGTTGAAAAGTTTAACCAACATTTGGATAGCCTAACAGAACACTTTGATATTCCTAAAGTTTCATGGACAAAATAATTGATAGGATTTCAAATGATCTGTTAATATTTCTAATTATTTTCTGTATTATTATAAATAAAATATTATAAAAATTATATTAATTTCCCTTCATGTTTATGCCATTAATATCTATGAATCTACTTCTATTAACAAAGCTGCAGGCGTTGTTGCTGCAAGATTGAGCCTGCTTGTCTATGGATATATCACAACCTCGACTGAGAAAGACTTCTCTTCCTAGTAAATTGGGTACCTGATACTCACTGTTACTGTGAAATTACACTAGCACAACATAACCAAGGCTCTAAAAATACACCAATTGGTGTAATTAGATTGCAATTCTATTGATTGTAGTCTTCCATATCATATATTCTATATTATCGGTCTTATATAATGTAATGTAAAGCGGAACAATTTTTAAATTGCATGATGCATGCATCATCTATAACGAGTTTGCTAAAAATAGTTCAATTTGTATTCCACTGCACACTATGTCCTAAGACTAAAGGTGAATAGGTTAGTGTTCAGAAATAGGTAAATATATTCATAAATTTGAAAAGGTCACTTTATTAGGGAATTAAAAAAACAATCATAGGTACAAAAAATGCCTTTTTGTAAAATGTCATGTACTTTACACAGTAGCTCTGGCACAAGTAAAAACTATGGTTATAATTATATAAAGTTATAAACATATCCTTAAACAATTTAATACAAACATAAAGCTTACACATTAGTAGTTTAAAAATAAGTACCTACCAAATAAAATTTCTTTTTTATTTATGTCTAGCTAAAGCACTACTCACATTTACTATCATAATTTACTGTGTATAAAATTTGAAATTCACATTTATTATACCAAAACAAATATTTATATTAATTAATTAAGTATATGACCAAAACTATTTTGATTGATACAATTTGTAACATAATTATGTATTGCTTGTTTATAACTTTATAAATGTAGAGTTCAACATATTTTTATGTCACATAATAACTTATATAGCGTTGGACGGAAAAATATCACAATATGTATATATAAAATATTACATTGATACATTTATGGTTCCCAATATCTAATATGTTACGAATTATTATTATATGTTATAGCTTTATAACAAAATCAAGTATAACTAATACTTTATATTGTAACTGTATATTTTAAAGTGATACTTTATAATGTCTGAATTGCACTAATGGACATAACAAGTAAACTGAGAGCTTAAGCTGTAACTATAGCAAATAACAAATCTTTACACATTAACAAAAGTTTGAACTTATATGATTGATGACAATTGGAATTAAGCAATACCTTTTTACAGAATCTATTTGGTTTTAACCAACTGCAGCGAAGCATTTGCATATGACCTGTATGTCATAACTACTAAACAACTGAAAAATAAAATATCTGGCGCCAATATGCATGTTTCCAAAAAAAGTTTTGCAGTTGGGTTTTTTAATTTCTTAATTATTTAAAAAAAAATATTTGAAAACTATGTTGAAAAAGTTTCTAATGTGTGATTAAATATACCCTTTCAGAAACTTTAAACAAAATTTAATTAACTTTAATTGTAGACTATCTATCATGTATTAATTTGTGTAACTGTTTGTATTACCAGCGTAGTTGTACAAACAAACAATAAAGATGTTATACTCAATGCTGTGGCACCATTATTTCTCCAAAAGGAATAACTGAAGGTGAATATTTTCACGAAATTTTCTTTAGTGGACCAAGGGTCACTGCCATCATCAAAATGCATCGGACATTGATCCCGTTCTCTTTCATATTCTTCCATTTCAATGGCAACTGCAGCACCCTCTGTATAGTTCCATGAGGTCACATCTTGCTTTAGATCACAGTATGGACCTAAAGCTTGTGACATTAACACCCTAAAAACAAATTTTATCGAGAAATATAAAATAAACCTCACATAACTTGGATGATTGATGGTAAAAGACTTTCATGAAAATAATACCTGTTAAGATCTGCTCTCTGATAAACCCAACAACGGTATTTCGAGAAAGGATCCAACTCATCGTAGGTGATTAAATATGATTTCAAATTCTCTTTCCAATATCCAATACACTTCATCTTATAGTCAGGGTCGCTGTATATATCCACAGGACGGCCCAAATGGTCCACAGACAAACAGTAGTTTTCTTTTATTTGTATTGTCTTCTGGTCAGTATCACAGACAGAGAAATCACTAATATTGATTTTACAGTATAAATTCGGTCGAGGGCTTAAAGTGACTCCTCCAAGTATCCTAGTTTCGAACCTCACATCTCCCCTTTGTGTGAAATTAAATTTACCAGCTACAGGACAACGAATAGGTGTTGGATCCTTTTTGAGAAATATGTCATAACGCCACTGCTCTTTGTTTTGAAATTGTACCCATGAGCAAACCGTATGGAAGTTGCTCTGAATCATGGCTAAGCCTTTTCGAAACCTGTAAAATAATTCAAAATTTTATTAATATGTACAAAAATCAATTACACTTATATTGTACATATTAATAATATTAATAGTAATAAAATTTACCTTATAACGTTGTGATGCTGAGGCACGAAATCAAAGCAAACGTAATCTTTCTGACATCCATCAACAGTCAGTCGAGCCATCATAACTCTTGTATCACGTTGTTCTCTAAAAAATTTAAATGTTTTTTTTTTTTTGTAAAAATGTTTTTCTCACATATGTGGATAATAAAATAAGTAATTTAATAAGTAACAACAGCATGACATTTGAGTCAAGTAATAAAAAAGTTGTACACAATAAAAGTATATCAACCTGCAAACATAAATAGTTCGCCTGTATCGCCCTTCATCCGGATAGTACGTTTCGATAATATGAGTTTCGTTGATGAATACATCGGCATCTATGTTAGCTGTGTTAATCCAATCTCCAGAAAAATTTTGTGGTAATCGACATCCCGGCTCCACTACTTCAGACTGTGAAAAACATTTGAACAGATATATTAATACACAATTACACATTATATAATAATATCAAAGAGAAATCTAGAAATAGAAATTCCCATGATACAATAAAATTTTTACCTTAACAGGGGTAATTCGGTATCTTTCTGGAGATTTCTCAACAGTTTTCAATGTGCTGCACTGAGGTGTAATAGAGGCACCAATATACAAATCGTCATCTCTGTTCTTCAGGAAACATCGGTACCTCTCATCCTTACGAGACTCTTTGGTATTGGCCACAGCAAAGAAATGATTTTTATCAACAAACCAATGTCCTGAAGTTTGAAAAATTTTCATAAATGTTCATAATACACTCTACATACGTATAATGCAAATGTGCACTACCAATGCACATAAATAGTCATATTATATTTTACTAATGATTGGGGCACTTCAGATTAACGCCACTGCAGATACAGATTTGGTGGTTTAGGTTAGGTTATTTATTTAAAATCAAAACCTAACTAAGTACTGAGTGTGTGGACATACAACAAGATTGCTCTTTATTGGGGCAGAAGCGCAACTTATTCTACTGCGTTATGGTTAATACGTAAGTATCACAATTGGTTTCATTAGTAGGAGTGACTCCTCTTTATTGGGGCAAAAGCGCAACTTATTCTACTGCGTTATGGTTAATACGTAAATATCACAATTGGTTTCATTAGTCGGAGTGACTCTTATCCTTGATACTTTGCTACCACATTGGTATTTTGTCCATCTGGCTTAATAGGACTACTACATGTATGTACTGTTAAAGTGGACATTTAATAAAAAATTGTTTCAAAAATTTATTCAGTTTTCTTTAAGACACAAAATAGCCTGCTTTAAAAAATTTTAATTTCCATATTTTTATAAATTGGGGAAATAGAAATATTTGTATTTGTGATATGAAAATCTCAAACAATCCACTTTAAGCTAGGACAAGAAAGCTAGTGTTTTTTGAAACTTACCTAAGCAACTATATTCAACAACACCATCAAAAGTACCAGACATTCCAGAACATTTCCTGTATGTTATATTGAACTTTTGATTAGTAATCAGAAACTGTGTTCCAGCTGTTTGACAACTCTTAATTTGATTATCAGGGTGATTACATTCACCAGTGAATCTAAATCTATTCTGGTAAGCAAAATGCCACACTCCCTCTAATGATGAACGGCAATTGACCTATGATGTAAAAACAAACATAAGAACTAAAAATAGTTATTTCTTAAAAAATTTAAAAATATGTATGTATTTCAATATTTAATAAAGAAATTAATAAGTTTATAAAAAGTAATGAAGTCTTATGAAGGTAAGTATATAGTAACTATGATGGATTAAACTTACAGGAACAGAATTTTCTGAAAATAATGTGATAAATTGCTGATCAGGTATAAGACTGCGGCAAACTCTCTCAACAGTTGGTTCTTCATCAGGAGCCAAGTCAACACAAGGAGTCTCAATCTTTTCTAGTACATTTACAGTGCGAGCTATCAACTTCACACAGTAGTAACAATTGGTATAACGGAACACCATTGTATAATTGACATGGTAGTCAGCTTTTATGTTAACACAGACCCCTCTGAAAAAATATTATTTTCAATAACATATACCTAATAGAATTGTCGAGTACTCATTGACCCAAAATACATTCAAAAGTTAGAAAAGGTAGTGTAGTATATGTAGTAAACACAAACCATTATTATTTTGTTTATTAAAGCCTGCACGTGTTATAATTAATTAAGAAGTATAACAACGTTTTTTTTATATCAAGTAGTGCGGTATTATGCACTGGAAAAATTACTAATTAACAAAATTATTTGTTATGAAATACTTTACCTTCCAGTCATTTCACTAGCATTTATATCAGTAATAGTTTGTTGGCCATTCTCAAAAGAAAACCATGTATTTCTTAGAACTATCGGAATTGTACACTCCGAAGAAACGCGAGGAACTGCAATAAAAAAAAATAAAACGTTATGGGCGTCACCGCCAACCAACTTGGTGCAAAATGTTTAAATACTTACTTTGACTAATTATTACTGGAAAAAAGAGAAAAATATGAAATAAACAGGCCATTTTATTTAGTCAATACTGAATTCCATTTGGAAATATCTAAAATGCAAGAGGTAATTTGCGAACAATACCCTATACCGTTTCGAAAACACAACACATTCAAATCATCAAGGAGTGACCAAGTGACAGTAATACAGATAGTGTTGCCGTTAACATTGTAGCTCAAATCCCCATATGCACTTCTACTTCAAAATATATTTTATCTATATATATAATCGGAATCTCGGAAACCGCTCCAGCGATTTTCATGAAATTTAGTATGTGCGTAGATTCGGGGGCGAAAAATCGATCTAGCTAGGTTTCTTTAGAAGATTTTTAGAAAATGTCATTTTATCCCTGTTTTCAGGGAATGAAAAATATCATTCGAATATGACGGTAAATTTCGCCGCAAAAAAAATGATATAATAGCTCGGTCGGTAATCGGGCGGCCCCAAAACAGACGGCCGCGGTTCGTATAACGATCATTTACACACTCTTTTTTTTTACTTTTTTTTCGATTCCAGGTCATTGCTTTCTTTATTTTTTATTTTTTGTCGATTTGTTATTTTGTTCTTTTGTTATTTTTTCCCCTTTTTTTTAAAATTCTTGTGTGAAAAACACCAGTTCATATTTTCTTATTATTACGTCGGTAAGATCGAAAAATATTGTGTATAAAAAAAGAAACAAACCGAGCTCGGTCCTCCAGGTACTAAATATTTTAAACGCGCAAGCTTAGAAACTCAAGTTCGTAAGTATGAAAATTCCTCATATTTCCCATTTTTAACTCAAAAAGCCATACTCACTCCCCATTTTATATAATAACGCGATAAATTCAAATTAAACATCACATAAAATTAAATTTAATGAGAAATAATTATTACCTTTAAAGAAATTTAAAAAAATATTGAATAGTTAAAATATTACAAAACTAATATAAATAATTAAAAATATTATAGTTTAATTTATTTTGTAATCTTATTACTAATACTTTTTTGACGTTTCAAATTTAATGCGATTGCCATTTTTTACCAAGACCCTTTTTTATTTATAGTCATAAGAGCAAGTAACAGTTTTCGTATCTAATTTATTCCTGTTATATGTCTTAATGAATGATAAATCTTATATTTACATTTACTTAACTTTACATTTAATTGATGAAATATTTTAAATTTTTTTAATTTTTTTCAGAAGTAATAGTATTAATTCCCCACAATTCCCAACAAGTATTATTCCCCAATTTATCCCAGCATACTTATAAAACTTCCCACGTTTGGGGGAATTTTCCACAGAATTTTATAACGAATCCTACCGGCCGAACGATAAACTATTTAATACCCATTTTTTTTTTTGTTTGGAGTACAAATTTCTGTGAACCTGGGATCAGCATTTTGTGCTGCACAAAATTAATAATTATGAGCACTGTTAATTAAGTAGTTTATTAATTTCTGAATGCCAAAACAATGAAATAAGTTACAGCTTTCTTAATGAAACCTATGGTAACTTTTACCATTAAATCCTAGATAGTATCAGGATAGATCATAGACGACCGGATTAGTAGGTGTGGGTTCGATTCCCACTACTGGAAAAATGCTGTGTGAAGAGCATGGTATTTTCCTGCGTATAAACACCCAGTTATATATGTATAATATGTCTTTATTTACAAAAGAAAAGTATGTTTCAGTATACTTATCAGTTATCTAGAACCCATAAAATAAGCACTGCTTAGTTTAGGACTAGAGAACGTGGTATAAAAATGAGTATAGTAATTTATCGATATTCCGTTATAGCGCATCCTTTCCTAGACGCGTTTTCTGTTGTCAAATGTATGTCTTGTCATTGGTTGTCAATAAAATGTCATAATTTATTGGTCGGTCTGTTTACCGCAACCTAAACATAATAAAGTTATTTGCGGTTGTAAAACAGTAAACTCACGCTAAATAAGGTAATAAATAAGTTTAAAAAAAATAATTTGGTGAATTAAAATGAAGGCATCGAAATCAAGAAATGTTAACATTACATTAAGTTATATCTTTCATTGATTTTTCAGCTATGGGGCGTCGAAAATCGAAAAGAAAGCCGCCTCCTAAACGTAAGGCGATTGAGCCCTTAGATCAACAATTCAATTGTCCTTTTTGTAATCACGAAAAATCTTGCGAAGTGAAAATGTAATAGAAATATACTTCTAAAGGTAATAAACTTCACTGTGTAAAATGTACTAACCTTCCCTTTATGTGTTTTTAGGGATCGAGCTAGAAATACAGCCAGAATTCAATGTCGGGTATGCTTAGAAGATTTTCAGACAACCACAAATGTTCTATCTGAGCCAATTGATGTTTATAATGACTGGGTAGATGCTTGTGAAAGTGCAAATTAATTTTATGTTTAACATTTATTCCTAATAGAATTTTCGTTATTTTAACTTTTTACATTTGCAGTCTAATTTGAGTGGTCCTTGAATAAATCTCAGTACTCTCACTTTTTATATTTTAATTTTATATATTTAAGTATAACCCAAAAGTTGAAATATTAAGTATTCCATGTGACATCATCATGTTTGTGAAAGTGGTTCTTTGTTATTTTGTAAATATTATAAAAACTAAGTTGAACTATTGATTTGCTATTTAAATAAAAATGATGTTTCATCTTTTAATGCCTTTTATTTGATAAATATTATAGTTTAATACGGTTCTTATATTATATTTACTTTTTTGCATATTATTTGCATAAATGTTAACACAATTCTGTTGTTTTACATTCTGTTTACACAATTACAACAGTACCATTGATTGGGAGGTTTTTGAAACATGTTTTGTTGTGCTTGGAAAGTGATTTCTGAATGCAGGTATACTCACTTCAGCAGTACAATGTGTCATAGCCAAATTCCAAGACACAATGAGCTAGTTCAGCTAGCTCACTGTGATATAATACATTAAAACTAAACTGCGGGAGGATAGCTGAAAGCGAAATACCAACACTTTGATGACTCCATGGCGCAGTTGCCAAGGTATTGGGTCAGTGTCGGGGGTCATGGCTTCGATTCCCACATGGGAACTATTTGAGACCTGCTGATAATTGTTTCGCATCTGGTTGTTTGTCCGCGTGAAATTTTTGTTTGTTAAAGTCCTTACTACACAGGATAATTTTATCCTAAAGTAAGGGCAATGTTTAAAAAAAAAACTGACATGTGCCAAGGAGACAGCCCGACATACGCCAGCCTGAACGGACCCACGACGAGAGCTGTGCGCTATCATGGGGCTTTACCTCTCGCTGCCTGCCGTGTTTTGTGCTATGGTGTACGACATGACCATGGGTCCGCCTCAGGGAGAGCTGCTTATAAACAATGGCTCTCCTGTCTCCCATGATCTCTGTCTAGAGTTCGTTGGCCGTGCAAAAGAGGCCGAACACAAAGGCGCGATGAATGTTCCAGAATGCCTTACTTGGAGGAGGGTGGAGTTGCTTCTCGAGAGGTTGCTGAAGTGACCAGCGCTGGCAGAGTCGCGGAAGTGTGCGAAAGCATTCCCGTGGGGCGTGGCCCTGCCTACCGATATGCGCCCTAAGTGGAAATTAGTTGGGGTTTTAATTGGTGCGAGTTCATATCATATCGAATAACGACCTCGATTGTAACAGCTTTTCGGTTATAGCGACGTTAGACTTACGACCTTTGAATTTAAACTTTCGTAGGAAATTTATTCGGATATGCTGCGACTTGCTGTTATGAATACCATTTATAACAGATTCCATGCGCATATTGCGCCTGAGTCGGCAAAGGCAAAAGACTCATTCATATATTAAGCATTCTTATCCTTTGTTTAAATTTACAGATTCCCAGATGCGCTTGCATTGTTTGTAGTAGTGTGTACAAGTCTTAGTGTACAAAGTTGAACTTACTGTTAGTCTTGGCATAGCGCGTACCTGATTATGAATCAGGCACAAATTATGACAAGGCTAGAGGGCTGTTTGTTTGGTGAAGGCAAGAATCATTTGAATATTGAAGAAATTGTGAAAATAGAATACACCTTACAGCGTATACAAAAATAAAACTGGATAAAGCGACTTCCGGTTAGTGTCGACAATAAGTGGTCCCTCCAACATCGTTATAAAGGTTATAACTGAAATCGACTGTAATTTCTAAATATGACAATTTAGTATTTTTTAAATATTATTTCAATTTAAACTGTTTTAATTTTGATCTATGATCTGTAATAAAGTTATGACGGACTGGACTTACCCAATATTCATTCATAAATCATAATCAATAATTATCTTTAAAGAAAAAAATCTCTAGCAAGATTGCGCATGCGCCGAAGTAGTTGTCGTCTTTTTAGTTGAAGCTTTTGGTCGTCTAGCTCACTCACTCTATTTCTCTATATATCTCGGTATGCAGGGGATGCGGCGGGTAAACAAGCAATTGGTAGTGTATTTTTATTGATATTTTAGTTTTGTACATACCTATAACTTTATACATACAGTATGGCTTTTATAAAGATGCCCAAATTCACACAGGAGGTTCATAGTCGGTAGTATAATCGTTTATTGAAATAAAAACATTTTTTTAGGGAATAGAATGGCTATTTTTAAAAAATAAAATAGCCATTCTATTCCCTAAAAAAACAGAACTTTTTGACAATGCGGTAGTTATTCATAAATGGGTCGTATACTTTTGAAACGAACTTGTGATTGTTAGTTATGAATGATTAAAATAAAGAGTTACCCATAAATCACGCACTTTCTGAGATAAGTTCAAATGAATGTAATAAATTAATTACGAGTGATTTTAAATACTTATCATTTTTTATACTTTATTTATGTCTAGAATTTAATTTAAAAAAATGGATACACTTAGAAAAGCCTCCCTGTATATTTTACACTGAAAAGAGTCAAGATCATTTTCTTCTCAAGACAATCACCTTTTAACAACCACCGTTAAGTTTGACACGACCGTACATTCGATAACTAAGGCAGCCTATTCACTGAAGCGGAGCGAGGCTTCAGAGCGGAGAAAGCATAATAGTTAAAAAAGACAATATTGTTTATTAGCTTGACCTAAATAGAGCTGCCAAGTGCCAGCGGGGTTAGTGTTGCGCATTAAGTAATCCTACGGAGTACGGAACTACTGGTGTTGCAACGCATTTGATACATAACGGTTCTGTTACAATTCCAAATCAAAACACTTAACAAAGGCCTCGCGCATCCCTATAATCGGAAGAGCGAGGGGCGTGAGCGGCGTACGGGACACCTCGCTTCGCTCGAAACTTACAACCAAGGCGCGATGACACAACACTTTTACTCAAAGATCCAAGGCCGATTTCGCCCATTATTGCTCTCTCGGACCGCTCATCTAGCCTCTCTCGCAGTCTAGCCCCAACTATGAAAATTATCGTTGCGAGTTAAACGGGCTCAATAATGGCCTCGCTCATTTCGCGGTCGAGCCCCGGCTATAGGATAACATAAAATATCCCCTCAGTAATTTTAGTATAGATTGGAATGTATGCTGTGTGTTGTGCTGGAGTAAATAAATTAATAACAGATTCGAACTTCAATAAGTAGTTTATTTCCAACAATAAAATATGTTTAATTACTGACAGGACTAATCATCTATGGCAAATAATTTATTTGTAAAGATAAACATTTCAGAGTTAAATGTCTTTTATTACAATAAGTTCTTTCACATACTAGATTTCCTACGTTATATATGCGTTATGCAAATATTCGAAATATTGCAAAATGTAACGTTGAATGAAAAAGCTTATACGGTTTGGGTTAACATAGAGTGAAATTTAACAGTTACTTGATAAATACAGGGCTGATATTACTAATGAAAAAATACTGAAGTGAAATTTTATCCATTTTACTACTAACACAAGATTATTGCTAGAGCTAGTTTACACCAATAAGGCCATTAATGATTGCCTGCCAATCAATATTTGAAACTTAGCTTAAATATCACTTTGTCATAGATAATAACTGGCAAATGTGTTATAAAAATGTAAGTAGTAACCGCATCTAAAAAAGCATTTTATTACAAGTACCGTTTTTACACATATTCAATGTGGAATGTACATAAAAAAGTTACAAAAACAAGAACCTAACAATGATTACAATTATTAACTTTAATTTAAAAATATTGAAATACTACTTGGTTTATGTTATTTTTTGTATGGGAATACATAATTTGGATGTAAAACAACAGTCAATATTTAGATCCTTTTCTTTACATATTTAATACAACATACTAGATTTTTTTTAAAGTTTCTATTATTTAAAACAATAAGTCACTTTCCAAACTAATGATATATTAGGTCATATCATAAATGACTTTTGTAACTACAATAATAAAAAAATACATAAAAATAACGAAATGCATATATTGCAACTCTGAATATTAGTTGTAATGCAACATTGCATTAATACATAATTATTTTGTTGTGAAGACTATTTCCTCATATAAAGCAATTTAGCTTTAAACTAGATTATTCTTAATATCGATATATTCTTCAATTTCTAATAACAACAATTAGATTTCTATGGAATAAACTTTTCTTTTAATTTTAAACAGTTACAGTGCAGATTCAATTATCCGGACTTTGTTCACACCTAGTCGCAATGAGCCAAATACCGTTTTGGTTTAATCAGTGCCTAAAAAATATGTACTTACATATGTGCGGAAATTTATATGTAATATCATAATAAACATTGATCTTTGTTCATCTTAAAATATATTACTCATTTTTATAATTTTGATTGAACATCTACATTATATAGATACCCAGATCACACAACAATATACCAGAAAATATAAAAGATCTCCTTCTAAAGTTGTTATACAAAAATTGTGTATCTTCAGTGTCTTTATATTCTGGTTAAACGAATCCCCACTGTATATGTTACAATGATATCTCAGAACATCAAGCCTTTTATTATTAAAATGTGTAATTATTGTACTTTTGGAAATTTAATTAATTGCAAATGACACAAACTTTATATAATAAGACTCCGAAAGACTATATCTACTGTGCCATTTTCTATCAATGAATAATATGCAACTTGCTACAATTAATTATGTTGTATTGACATCATTTCCTTATAACACTAAATATGCAATAAACAATTGTCATATATGCCTTTATATAAACAACAAAACCAACAGCATGAAGCTGCATCACATCAATCAAAACGAAAACGGAAGTAAATAAATATTACTCTTGCTAAATTATAATACAGTATCATTATAACATTGAGCTATTGTCTAGTCTTACAACCCCGGGATTCTCTAACCATGTCATATATGGATTTGGAAACTTAATACTAATTTTTTTTCTATGGAAAGTATATACAAAGTAGCTAGGGAAGATTTTCTACCAAGTTCAAAATGTAAGACATGACATGGTTAGGAGAGTAGCATACCACCAAGCCCTCACTGTGCATAAGCTGTGTACAGGTTTATAGGGTGTAAAATAGCTCAGAAAAAAAAGGTAACTATTTTTTAAAACAACCATTATGTGCAACCCAATAAACTTTCTAAGGAATGCACATATGGGGAAGCATTTCAAAACAACTCTTATTCAATTCCATTGATTAAACATTTATATACTTCATAAACATATTATAACAGCACACATAGCATATAAACATCCAAGAATAACACTAATATGGTTTACATATTTAAAATTTACCCATGTCAACAAAAGAATCATACTGGAGATCATAACTGTCGCACACGGTGTCTTCCTCATCAGAGACCATAGCACTTTGAATGGATGTTAAAATTTTCACTTCAGCATTTTCATCATCACATATAGCTGTGTTATCGGAACTATCACTATTGCTTTCAATGTATTCATATAATAACTTGGATTTGCCCATGTCCGTAATGCTGCAGACTTCGGAGGGCTCATATGTGCTGAGCACTGTGGATGTTTCGTCGATGTTGATGACGTCGAATGAATTTGAAAGCAAAGCATCGTCGTACAGTACAATGGGGGCGATTTCGATGTGGGATGAACATGGGTCTTCTGTAAAGTGGCCGGAATCAGCTATCTCGGATACGTTAAGTGATACCGTGTTCTCTTCATTCGCCGACATGCTCTTTGAGTTTGGACGCTCAGTTAGATCACTACGATTATCCACTGGCTGTTTTTGCAGCGTTTTATTTTTAGGATTGTCATCACTCAAAATATTGCCCCTTGATGATGCGGATGTGTCGTCTGATAAATCACCTTCTGCGTTCAAAGTCACCGAGTAATCGTTCTCATCCTTGTCTCCTTGCAGGTGTTCCAAGTCGTCAACGCATTTGGTGGAATCGTCGCTGCTGTCTGACAGGAGCAATTCCGTACTGCGATCCAGGATCGCTGTGTCCATGCAAGTGGACATGTCGTCTTCGAATATGATTTCGACACTGCGGATCCTCATCAGTGGCATTTTGGATGGTGATATCTCGTTGCCCTTGGCGGTTCTCCCTCTCTTGCTAAGAGTGGGGTCCCCCAAGGACTCTGCGCTTTCGCTTACTTCGTCGTAGTCGATTTCGTAGCTCCGCAAGTCTGAATTGCACGGGGTGCATTCCGTCACTTTAGCGTTGTGGCTTCTCGATGAATGGATGTGTGCATTGGTGGAATGGCTTGGTGAGGGCGTGCGTGTGGTATGCGTGTGTAGTAATCCCTAAGGTTGTAACAATTCTTATTGTATCGTGGTGCCGAGGTCGAGACCGCCCTCCTCCTGCATCTTCGTGAGGAATTTGAATACGCGGGATTCTTCGTCGGTCTGTTTGACCATGTCAACCAGAGCCAGCAGCTTCTTAATACCGATAAATATCCTGCGAGATACAATGCAAAGTTAAATGGTAGTATACCATTTATTTTTAATTAGATGTATTTTTTAAAATAAAGGTTTATGAAACTCTCATGTAGAAAGTAGATTTATAAAAAAAAAATATATTGCTAATAAACATAGTTCTTTTATTCTTAACTTTATAATGCGAAATAAAAGCAGCAAGAACTTTTTTTTTATCAAATATTACCCCTACTGTAAGATAAGGTAACTGTATTGTAAGGGTGTTTTGTAAACACAAAAAGAACAAGGATAAGCATTTATAAACTATTAAATGCAATGCACAATAAACTAGCAGCACACATTGAGTGGGCATTAGTAAATTAATATAGTCAACTCACTTGGCACCCCTCAGGTCGTTTTGAATCTTGGCCAGATCTCTCTTGCTGAATGCATCACTTTCTTCAAGCACGGCCATAACATGTTCGGGTTGCGATAGATTTGGTACGTGGAGAACGCCCGTGAAGGCAGACAGGACTTCCATGTCCTCCAATACTTGTCTGTTGGAGATATGTTTTGTTAATTTATTTAAAATTTTTATTAGCAAATTAAAAAAGTCAATGTAGAACATCATATTTTCAACAGGCTTTGGACATATTACAGCCATCTAAATAAGAGTATCCAAAAATGGGCAAAAATAATGATATTTGAATGCAATGATTTATTCTATACATACTTTTGCAACATCTCTTGTATGTAAGCATCTTGAGGCTCGGTCCTTACCGTCACGTGAACTGCTTGTTCAGTTGACATTCGTTTGCAACGAAAATAAATCACAATACCTGCGACTGCTGGTGCACAGAATGAGCAGCTTCCTGCCCTTAGGCGGTTGCTTCTTTAGTAGCACGAGCAGCGCCTGAAGCGTGAGGTTGGAGTAGCGCGGCCCGATGGGACCGTAGTCCAACAGTCGCTCAATGTTGTCCACGAGGATGCACGACAGACTGGAGCGGTACGCGTCGTCGAAGTACTGCGAAAGGGCGATACGGTACAGTCGCGCGCATCGAAAACCTTGGTAGTACAGTCGCGCGCGTTGAAAGTCTTTGGGGTACAGTCGCGCGCGACGAAAACCTTGGGGGTACAGTCGCGCGCGTTGAAAGTCTTTGGGGTACAGTCGCGCGCGTCGCGCGCGTTGAAAGTCTTTGGGGTACAGTCGCGCGCGACGAAAGTCTTTGGGGTACAGTCGCGCGCGTCGAAAATCTTGGGAGTACAGTCGCGCGCGTTGAAAGTCTTTGGGGTACAGTCGCGCGCGACGAAAACCTTGGAGGTACAGTCGCGCGCGTTTAAAGTCTTTGGGGTACAGTCGCGCGCGACGAAAACCTTGGGTGTACAGTCGCGTTCGATGTAAACCTTGGGGTACAGTGGCGTGCAGAATATAATATATTCATACGGGCCGCGATTGAAGTTGAGTGCAATATCTCTAATTATCGATTAATACTGCTTGTATTAATGGATAATTAGAGTTATTAGCTTAACACCTCAAAAATGTTTACAAAACCGAATTACAAGGTTGTTCCCAACAACATATAGTAGACAACAGACAGCGATTGGATACCATCAAGCTGCATATTGCGTCATAGCTCAGTATGGGAGCAAATCTAGAAAACCTTCAGAGGCGCGTGGCAAATTTCTGTGCGCTCTACTGAAACTTAATGACCTTTGTTAAAGTTATCGAGTTATGAAACAATGTTCATTTATTCAACGGGGTTTTCAAATTTTTAAATAATAAGTATACTTCAGCATGCGATTGTACATTTTTACATAATATTTTTCGCAAACGAGTTTTTTAAATGCTCGTGTTATAAATAATTACCTTTCGGATCTGCAAGCACTTGGCGGATTCGGTGAAGCCGACCATGTCTTCGGGCGAGCAGACCTTCACGAACGGGAAATCGGACATCTTCGCTAATTCGGCAGCCAGGGCGGTCTTGCCGCTGTTGGGTGGCCCCTCCAGAAGGACCGAGACTAGACCTATTGGACAACAGGTGCCGTTAGCGTCGCTCTCTATCTGATTAACTTGCCTGTCCACCGAACGGCGTAGTGGATAGAGCCTGATTCATACGTCAGAGGGTGGAGGTTCAGTGTCCACTACTGGAATAATATTGGTGATTGACATAGATATACAGCGTGTCGTTACCATCGCGACAATAAATGAACACACGTCTAACGCTACTTGCCAATAATCATAAAAAAAATATTAACGTTAAACAAAATCCATAATTAAAAAAAATATTTTTCAAACAAACTAATTAAGTAAAAAAGAAACAAAATTTGTAAAACCTATACAACTCGCGCCACAGCGTCGCATTACATGCCTCTCCATCTAACAGGATGTTTTGTCTCTTAAATTCATTCAACCCATTCATATGCTTTGTGACCTTTACAAATGAACTTTACGTTACAGTTTTATAGGTAAGGGTGTTCTAAAATTCTTTGTTTTGGAAAATAACTCTGTAAATATTGATATTTAAAGAATTTAAATGTTTAATACAACTTTAAAATGTTATCCCCTATATGTGTGTTCATTTATTGTCGCGATGGTAACGACAAGCTGTATATATTTATATACTTACGTTTTTATTACAAAATAAAAGCATCGTTAAGTATGCTTATCATGTCTATCAGTTTCGCTTAGTTTGAGACCAGATAACGTCGTGTGACAGTAAGATCATCATCATTTCAGCCATTTTCAGTCCACTGATGAACATGAACTCCCTCATAGACTGCCACGAAATGCGATCCTTTACCACTAGCATCCATCGACTTCCCGCACATTTGCATAGGTCGTCACCTATACCGGTTGTTATTGGGAGCACTTTACTCGGCGAGTTCAGAGACATAAATTTATTGATTTATTTTATGTAGCAACATTTTATTATACCGCTTGCTTCAGTCATCCTCGCTTGCTGGATGTAAAGTTGTCCGTCCTCCAGCAACGAGGAAACTGGCGAGCCCCAGTTGATGATTCCGCGAGACAGGAAGTGCTCCAAAGCTTCGGCGGCTGTACCGAACGCCTGAGAAGAAACATATCTTTCTGTAAACCCTAAAACGATAAACAGGTTTAGCTATAAATATCACCGACGTTGCATTAAGGTCCCACCACATGACTATTGCTGAGTACATTGCCAAACAGCAGACAAATAGTGGACATTTATTATACACGTAAAAAAACCGAAACAGCTAAATATTTCATTGATTCACCGACCATTGGGATTCTAATGACATCGCAAGGCGATACGGACTGATGTCAAAATGCTTAATTAAACATGTTATATTGAAAAATAAAGAAGTTCCTTGTTATGGTAGCTCATGATTGTATTATTTGTGAATTGTTATTTACCAAAGTTACATCAATAAAGTTTATTTTTTGTTTCTTTCGCACGAATATTTGTCATGAACGTTTGATGATGTATGTAATAGTATTGACGATAATTGTATCAAGCTTCATCGGTCAACAGGGCAAGTCAAAAAAAAATTACAACAAAGTTACTGGACCCAGCACCGATTAAGACAAATCAATTTAGACATTTTTAAGTGACAATAGAGCTGGTTCCTTTCACGCTCAAAGGTTAAGCATAACTATTCAGCGAGGAAATGCAGCTGGCGTTGTTTGCACCATGCCGCATGGATTAGTTTTATTAGACAATATGTAATTTTAGATAGATTTAATCTTGTAAATATTAGATCAATGAACTGTATGATATTAAAATAAAGGAAAATAATAAGAAATACTGAACGGGCAAATTTACGACTTTAAACATTGTGTAGCACGACCCCCCACTAGATGGAGTGACGACCTGTGCAAGTGTGCGGGAAGTCGATGGATGCAGGTGGCTCAGGATGGTACTTCGTGGCAGTCTGTGGGGGAGGCCTATGTTCAGCAGTGGACTCAAACGGGCAGAAATGATGATGATGATGATGATGATGATGATGATGATGATGATGATGATGATGATGATGATGATGATGATGATGATGAAACATTGTATTGCTTGTAGCGAGGTGCGCTCACCGGCTTGATGTCGTTCTCGAGCGCGTGCAGGAAGTCGGTGCGCTCCACCATGAGCTTCTCCATGGCCTCGGGGTCCACCTCCACCTTGGAGGAGGCCTTGATGAGGCGGTTCATGGCCGTCGACTGGGCGGCGCGCACCAGCCCCTCCAGCTCGGCGCCGGAGAAGTTCTTCGTCAGCGCCGCCAACTCCTGCGGAGGGGACGAGGCCTTTCATATCCTCGTTTTCGTACTAACCGCTTACGTCATTGACTCATTCATTCCGTATATAAATCATAGCCTATGGTGATTCTGAAGTAGGAGCTTATCCTCAGTAGTATATGCTGAAAGGACATGGTCAATACCGGTTTCAAATGAGGGGTCTTCGAGCGCTGATCCAATGGACTGGTTAAGAACGAAATCGAGCGCTGCTCGATACGCCTTATTTGATAAAAATCGCTACATTGGTATAATAATGATCCTACATTGGTACATGTCTTTTTGCAGGGACGATAATTATCTGCATACTATTATATTCATTATGTATTTTAACTATCATTATAATAAAGCTCTGAAGAATTATCCCGTATGTTCGTAAAGTTATTTATTTTAAACATAACAGCTTACGCTTACGCTTTACTAATCCATTTAAGGGTGAATGACATTTTTACTTGTAACAAGTTGATATTTGTTGATATTTGTTTTCCCATATGAAGAATTCCATAATTCTTCATATGGGAAAACAAATATCATCGCCATCATCATCCTCCTACTTATCCCACCAATGTGAATCATGTTGTAAGTGTTTTTGGCTATGGTTTATGACTGACCACCTGCCTAACATCAACTCTTGTTGGGAAACAAATCCGGAACAATTATCACACAAATCCATGTCCCGCATGGGAGTCGAACCCACGACCGCCGACGCCTAAGCCAACAGCTTAGCAATGGCGCCACCGAGTCAAAACAACTAAATATACTCTGTCTGCGCCTAACATTTTTATTAAGCAATTTATTGCACAGACTCAATAACGCATCAATATGTTAAAACACACATCATTCAACTTTTTACGGTCAACAACGCGCTATTTTTATATTGATTTTTCCAAACAAATACAAGATCATCCAGAGACTTTGTTCGCATTTATGTCCAAAACGAGAGATATTCGAATAAATAGATCCCCGAACGCCCCTCGGAGCTTACCATCACACATAGAATGTGCGCGAGCCGAGCGGCTTATTTAAGCTGACCTTCGGGTCGACGTCCTCGGCGATCTTCTTGTACTCGCGCATCCGCTTCGTGTGGATCTTGAGGATCTGGACGCGGCCGCTCTCGTCGGGCAGCCCGATCTCCATCTGCACCTCCAACCTGCCGGGCCGCAGCAGCGCCTCGTCGATCATGTCGCGCCGGTTCGTCATTCCGATCACCAGGATATTGTTCAGCTGGTCCACGCCTGCATTCGAACATGTCAATTACGACCACGATACTGAACTTTAAAGAGTATTTTGTATACAGCGTGTCGTTACCATCGCGACAATAAATGAACACACGTCTAACGCTACTTGCCAATAATCATAAAAAAATATTAACTTTTAACAAAATCCATAATTAAAAAAAAAATTCAAACAAACTAATTAAGTAAAAAAGAACAAAATTTGTAACATCCTATACAAACCGCGCCACAGCGTCGCATTAAAAGCCTCTCCTTCTAACAGTATGTTTTGTCTCTTTTAAATTCATTCAACCCATTCATATGCTTCGTGACCTTTACAAATGAACTTTACGTTACAGTTTTATACGTAAGGGGTTCTAAAATTGTTTGTTGTGGAAATTTTAATAACTCTGTAAATATTGATGTTTATAGAATGTAAATGTTTAATACAATTTTAAAAAGTTATCATCTGTATGTGTGTTCATTTATTGTCGCGGTGGTAACGACACGCTGTATAACCGCTTTACTGATATTTGCACAATATAATTGCTGATAGTCAAAAAAAAAATATGTCATCTTTCATCCACTATGCCAACGAGTGAAAAATGTATGACCTGTCATTGTTTGCTAATACAACGGTGTTGACTTAGCATCTTTCGTTGAAACGAATTGCCAATAGGATCATACATTCTTTTCCTTGACAAGAAATTTTTACACATTTTATTTCGAATTTCTTTTAATTATATTGCTCTGCTTACGTCATCAACGGCAAACATGAGCCTTAAGCAATTAATCTAATATAAAATAATAAGCTTAATACATACAGGGATAGAACAGAGTCATAGGTACCATCTATCTTGGAGAGCAGTTGGTTGACGACGGTATCGTGCACGCCAGTGTTTCCGCCCACGGAGCCTCTCGCCTTGCAAATGGCGTCTATTTCGTCGAAGATGATTATATGGAGGCCGCTGTTTGGTCCGCACTAAAAATACCAACAAATTAAGTAAAAAAAAAGAAAGCATTAACCATTTTCAAGTGATAACAGATTAAGTACAAAACAGGCCTCATACCGATAGCCCCCTTATAGTGAAGGCCAAGACCCTCCACTTGCGTGTCTGAAAACTGATTGTGTCAACGACTGGAGTCTATACATGGCAGTAGATCACAGGTCGAAGTATCAAGTCACTAAACTATCATTGATATAGTAACAGATCTTCTCAGTTGATTAATAACCATATAAGACAAAAGATATCAAGTCCAGTTGAGAATATTTATCCGTACTAGACGAGAATACATTGACAATCCGTAAATGGACACTTTTCAAGGCAGCCGCTTGTAAGTTTACATTTTACAAGTAAAGGAATTGATTTTTTTTTTTAATAGCGGCTCTTTACTTCACACTTTTCTTATGTAAATAAACACATATTATAAATATATAAACACCCAGATACTGGAGAAACGATCTAACCCACTCCCTATGGCACACGAGACAGTTGTACTACCCACTACGCGATCAGGTCATTAGATAGATTTGACAACAATTATATTTTATTACAGTTATGTGCTGTTGGATTCCTGATAAATAAAAGCCATATACAGAACTCATATATATTCGTGTACAATACGTAATCAGTATACAGCGGTCGTTTTTGGCACTAATATGAATGTTTCTGAATTAGTGGAGGTGTTAATATCCGACAATTATGCGTTCGCGCATCGTTCGGCGAAATTGTTGATACCGTTAGCACTTAATTGAAGGTCGACAATGAAAGGCATACTAAACTTTGGCTATTATGTGAGAAAATGGCAAGCGAGGTGGCGGATCACCTGATGTGGGGATGTACATGCGGTGCCACATTTAAACAAATTGGGCCCCGGCTACCACACTCACCAGACGAAACGCCGATCTTCCGTGAGGTCATGGTACTTACCCGGACAGACCTGCCCATTTGTGCAACAGTGGACACTATTGCGTGGCCCAACCACACAAAGCTGTCGATAGGCCGAACCCTTTCACAGAACTCACCCTCTTCTCCTCTTCCTCCGCGTCAGCGAACAGCCGCCGTATGTTCGCCTCGCTTTCGCCCACGTACTTGTCCAGGATCTGGGGCCCATTCACGATCTTCGGCTCGCGCGCGTTCAGCATCTTGCCGATCTGGCGCGCCATCAGGGTCTTCCCCGTCCCGGGGGGGCCGTATAACAGGATACCCTTCACGTGCTTGCACCCTGAAATACGTATGTCCATTATAATTTGTAGAAAATTTATGTACGTATATTGTCCACGCGATATTTGTGTTTGTGTGTGTGTGTGTGTGTACGTCCGTGCGCGTAAAATTTGTAGACAAAAACTAATATATAAACTAGTTGATTGCTTCATAAAAATGATTTATGGTTCCGTACCCAAAGGGTAAAAATTTTTCTTATCACTAAGACTCCATTGTCTGTCTGTCTGTCTGTCACCAGGCTGTATCTTTTGAACCGTGATATTTCGACAGTTGAAATTTACACAGATGATGTATTTCTGCTGCGAAATACATCATCTGTGTAAATATACTGCTATAACAACAAATACTAAAAAACAGATTAAAAAATATTTATGTGTTGCTCCCATACAACGGACATGATTTTTAGTCGTTTTTATAGATAATGGTACGGGACCCTTCGTGCGCGAGTTCGACTCGCACTTGGCCACTTTTTATAATTCCATGTTTTACGCATTGTGTCATCCCTAACAATTGGATCCAAACTAATAGCGCGTGTCTTCCTCTAAATTAAATTAGTGCAGTTGCCACTTGGGTTCCATTCCCATTGATGTTGTGATCAATTACGGATTCTAAATGAGCATTTAAAGACCACTTAATTGGCATACGGTTTAATTTTTTTTAAAAAAACTTCCACGCTAACTTCCTTCCGGTTAGCTATAAGCAGATTCATTTCTAATGATGTACTTCACGTAAATGATAAAACGATATTAATTTACGCCCAATTGAGAAAGAAACATAATTCGTGTGCGGCCTCTAGGTTAATGTTGTACCGTAAGCGGTATGCTTGCCGTACACATGCCGCTTAAACTTAAGAAAATTTTGAGAAACGCATACAACAATTGCTGACAGAGTTATTAATTATTAGTTTCAATTTATTTTTAATAGTCTTAGTGATGAAGGTCAATGTGCAAAACCTTTGGAAAGGGACAATCGGCTAAATTCGGTTTTGTAGAGCGCTATCTCTGTCGCTCACTATCGCAGACAGAGATAACGCTCTGCGAAACCGAAATTGCTGATAAATTAAACTTGTTGAAAAGGCATACATATGAATCAATTCTGAATCGGATTATCGCTTATTATAAACAGTGGATTCTGCAAGACAATCTGAAATGTCCTTCACACTAACAAGCAGTACGGCCCAGCAACGTTCTAACAGTCAATTGAGTGAAAAGAAGCTGGTTTTCGAGAGAATTTTCCGTTTTACAGAATACAGGCGTGATTTAGTTACACTTCTGCGTTTCGTCTGGTGAGTGAGGCAGCCGGGGCCCACTTTATTAAAAGGTGGGAACGCATCAGTAACTCAACAGCAACCCTACGGGAGTTGCAATTATCCATGGTAACCATAATAGCTTGTTTACCACTTTCCCACATAAAAAAAAATTATAACAATCCCCTTACCCAGTTGCTCCACAACCTCCGGGGGGAAGACCCGGGAGGCGAAGGCGCGTCTGAATATCGCGTTGAACTCCTTGTCCAGGCCACCGATGCCCATTTTGCCAAAATCCCAGTCGGGGTTGATGATCGATTGCCGCGGCTGTTTCCTGTACAGAAATAAGCAGCGTTCATTCATTCCTAAAAAGGCCCAAAACTAAATGCTCTTTCCGATGTGTGAATCCAATTCATAACGCACGCACGCACGCACGCACACACACGCACGCACACGCACACACGCACACGCACGCGCGCACAATTTTTATTTGTTTATTAAAATTATTTTTTCTCTTTGTAACAAAATTACTGTGTTTATGTGTTTTTACGTTTATGTACCAAATAAATATTTTCCATCCTTATTTCTTTCTTTCTTAATAACAGCCTATAAATGTCCCACAGTTGGACTGTACTTTACTTGACGTACTTAGTGACTTTAGCATAGTACACAAGTCCCCATCGCGGTTTGGCAGACATGTCTTGGAATTTTTTTAACTATAATTGTGAAAATACACAGGTTCACGGTGTTTTTCTTCACCTATGAGCATCTGACAAACGATCACTTTGGGACCGAAACAGGGAATTAAAGTCAGGTTGCTCGAGCATATTGAATTAAAGCGCCGAGACACTGACCACCGCGGCTATTATACGTGTACTTTAATAAAAGGATGTATATCACTGGCATTCTCAAAAAACAATTTTTCTTTATTTGCTCTTATAAGAATGTAGCTTACTATATATAGCAAGACTTTATGCTAAAAGGAACGGAAACGGACTGGCCGAGCAACTTAGGATTACTTTACTTTACTGGGCTTACACCATGTTCGGGGTAACAAAAATGTTGCCAGACTTTGAGAGCGGGCCGTTATTAACTCAAACTACAGGAGAAACGCGAACCTATAATGATTCCACTTCACGCTGGTCTTCTGCGAGCGGCCTTATCTTTTTTCGACTAATGTCCGTACAGTGGTCGAAATTCGACAATAATTATTGTTGAAACTTTTACGTAAACATAATATTCATTTTAAATTTTCGAACACAAAAAAATACAACAAAAGAAATGTTCACGTAACGAACATAATATTATGTGCCGTTCTTACAGCCGAAAGCAGATAAACATTTTCTGAATAATGTTTACAAGCAGACAGATCACTCTTTTCGGTGAGGACCATTTAAGCTAAATATTTATTTTTAGCCTTTAGCTTTGCCGTGATGAAGGAATAAGATGAAGAATAATTACCCTTTCGCCTTTCCCACTAGGTTCAAGGAGGAGTTTTCGGCCTTGTCGAATTGTATGCACGCGTCGGGGAGCAACCTCCCCATGCGAACTCTACGCGGAACTGCATTAGCGCCCGAAGCCAAAGCCTGCACGTCCACAGCTAAAAGGAAAAGTGAAGTTACAGCAAATACAGGGTGATTTTATAGACGACGAACGTATTAACAGAGCGTATGCGGAATTTGATTTTAAATCTGAATCTGGTGCGTACTTGTGAGCTAATTTTTCAATATTATTTTTAATTTTTTAAAACATTATTGACGCCTTAAGAAATTCCTGTCTTACCGTCACAATACAATAACCTATTGGCGAGCACTAAAACTTTTCGCTGAACGCATAATTACTAAACCGCTTATCAATAGGGTGACCACTCTTAACGGGATAAACAAACAATGTTTGATTTGATATTTTTCTGGTTATTTCTTGTCAAAATAAAATATTAATATTTTTTTGAATTATGGAATGCTCAATTAACATTATGTCAAAGTATGTACTTCGTCTAAAAAATCAGCCTGTATTACAGCGTGTAGTTACAACCGTGACAATAAATTAATACACGTCTAACGCTACTTGCCAATAATCATAAAAAATATAAAACGTTAAAAAAATCCATAATTAAAACAATATATTTTTTAAATAAACTTATTAAATAAAAAAGAAACAAAATTTGTAACATCCTATACAACTATAACCGACTGATTAATACATTCAGACACTTTTTCATTCGTTCCCGCAGCGTCGCACTACAAATCTCTCCTTCTAACTACTAATCTCTCTTTCAAATTCATTCAACCCATTAATATGTTTTGTGACCTTCACAAATGAACTTTACGTTACCGTTTTATACGTAAGGGTGTTCTAAAAGTGTTTGTTTTGGAAAATTTAATAACTCGGTAAATATTGATGTTTAAAGAATGTAATTGTATAAAACAATTTTAAAAAGTTATCATCTAAATGTGTGTTCATTTATTGTCGTGGTTGTAAGGACACGCTGTATATCCCACTGCTGGACAAAAGCCACTTCTATACGGAGTGTATTAGTCCACGACGCGACCCCACTGCGGATTGGTAGACTTGGCATATCTTCGTAACATTTTTTTTGGTATTATTTCAAATATATGCAAGGTTACCTCACGATGTTTTCCTTCACCGCTTAGCGCATAATAAATAAGCTTTTTTAATAACAATTTTATTGGTGCCGGCACCGGTATTTGAACTCGGGTCGCTCGAGTATATTGGATTATGATTTAAATAATTATCCAACAAAGGTACGTTTATGTTTAATTTTACACTTTGTACTTCTCTACCTACTACAAGACTACATCTTTTTGCGAAATCTTGTAAATGGCTATCAATTTATTTATATATTAATCGTCGTATGTTAGCTGTAAGTTTTCCATGTATTTTTTTTATGTGAAAAGTTGCCAAGCGAGCAGACGGTTCACCTGATGTTGAGTGAATACTGCCGCCCATGGACATCTGTTACAAGCGTTGACAACCTTTTGTAAATTGGGCAACGGCCATGAGGTAGATCACCAGACGAAACGCGAAAGTATTATACTTCAACTTTACGCCGGTCTACTGTGAGGTCGTGGTACTTACTCGAACGAGCCTGCCTATTTGTGCAACAGCCGTGGCTGCTGCGTGTCCCTACCAGCGTGAAAATATAAATAAAATAAAATATAAACAAAATAAAATAAAATATAAACAAAATAAAATAAAATATAAACAAAATAAAATAAAGCGAGCGCCCGGACAACAGCTACACAGCTACAGGATGGAAGATTACCCGTTAAAGGGTCTGAAAACGATTCGGACCTTTGAGCTCTAAGGGAATTCAAGTATTACACAATTTTTTTAATAAATTAAAAACTAGAGAATTGAAATCTCCTAAATGTTTCCGTTTCTAACTGCTTTGCTAAAGCTTAAAAATTTATTTTATTGTAATTATTAATTAGTTAAAAAAGCTTAAATGTGAGAATATTGAAAATCTGTGCGGCTGTGTTACTTGGAGCTCGCTTCCCCCCAAGGTCTAAAACTGTTAAGGTCAAATTTTTTGCTTCGTTGATTTTTACGACCAACATATTAAAATATTTATTTAAGTTCAATAATTTAAAATGTAATTAATTATCGATTCGAAATGGATTACGGTACCTAGCGTAACCATAAGCCTATTATTTAAATCAATACTTACCTTCAAGATTCTTAACGATCAACGATAAAACTTTTTTCTCCTGAAATGAAAAGGCAAGCAGTTGCCCGACGGTGAACACCTGATTTGAAAACTGTATGAGGAAATCTCGCGCCATTTGTTCCGAGTCATACGGCTCTAGGGATGTGCTAAAACAAAGTAATAGAACTGTATAATTGTTGTAGACATACATATAAAAAAAGCAATACATGTTCGTGAATTAAATACGACGAATAACATTAATGATATTAGAACTTAACGTATATTATGGCATGATACACAATTCGTATGATTAATGATAGTGTGGTAAATTGCGTTCAAAGAAAAACTGAATGCATTACGTCACAAATACTTTATCCCGTCCTTTTACACTGAATAATACTTATAAAAGGTATTGTGAGCGATTAATTACGTAAGCGAAGTGTTAAACTCAAATTTTAGTTTAACTTCAAAGATATAAGGTTTATAATCAAACGTTCAACATGGCATCGATTTAAACCTCTTTACATACAGCGGAATATAAAATGGTTCACACTAAAATGCATGATTTTAGTTATTAAATTTGCATACTCTCTAATACATGTCTGTATCTAAAATTTAGGTTTCAGCTAAATAAAGAACGCAACATCCCATACTTACGTCTTTTTCAACATGAAGTCCGCTTCTAATGTCACACTGCACAAACATTCTGCACTCTGAGGTTTGAAAGGTTTAACATCGATTGGCTGTAACAAATATAAAGTATTATAGCTGTAAAGTAAGTCTAAAATACAGTTATACGTTATTCCACATCCCATAAAGAGAGCTTATCTGAGGATTCTTAGTTAGAAAGCTACTGGATTATATTTATAAAATGCTAGCGGACCAACAGACCTTGTCCTGTACAAACCACATAAATCCGACAACTTAAAAAATTAAAATAAAAAAAAGAAACATTGTAGTGGAACGAATTGTGAATCTAAACAATTATCGAAACGACCAGAAGACACACAAAAAAAAATCATTAAAATCGGTCTAGCCGTTTAGGACACACGTACAGAAGAATTATATATATAAAGGCAACATGTCGCCCGCGGCTTCGCTCGTATTGAACCCATAAATATTTTTTTTTAAAAGAATCCTTTTTAATACCTCTAAGAATATGTGAACAAGGTTTCATGATAATCGGTTGAGTAGTTTGGCGTGAAAGCGTAATAAATAAACTTAGTATTCACATTTATAATATTATAATTATCAAAATAAAGTAGGGATCGTCATCATTACGAAGCAGTAATAATCGAATTTGAATCCCGATCTCCGTCAAAAATCAACCTATCCTGATCGTTGACTATGCGTCTCTATGTACAGTGGATTTATCTTATGAGGGGCATCTTATCCAGCATGTGTCTAGTCTAGTCGCTGTGTATACTTAACACGTTTACTCCTAAGGGCCGAGCGTGACCAGTAAAATGCTTTTTAACACGTTGTATTTTAAAAGCTGAATACATTATTTTTCATCTATTTTAATATAATTATGTTTCTATTTCAATAGCTCTTCGAGTGGCTTTTAACTTTAAAGTGGTCGTGCCATCGTGCCATTTTCAACATCGTAGGCAATAACAGGTAGCACGGTAGAGCGCTTCGTCTTCAGGGAATTGTGTAAAATTGACGACGAGAAAACCTAACGAAGTAGAGTCTAAATTAACCGACCAAATGAATAATGCAGTCGACTTATCTCTCGAAATTGTTCGTATCATAAAATATGGTTCAAATGTTGCAACACTCCCTCTTTAACGGATGGTTTTTTTTTAATGACTATGCAAAGATTTCTTAGTTACAGAGCCCAATAAAGTAAAACGACAACATTTTACCAGCTATTAAAAATCAAGGAATTGTATGTAGAGCTCTTGCAAATTGATGCGTAATTTATGTTATTTTGGATGTCAATCAATAAATGCGTCAAAGCTAAGACTAGACAAGATTCTCTTATCGCATTGAAATATGAAATTTTTCACGTTTCTTTTTAAATGAAAGAGAATTAATTAATGCTTTTAGGGTTCCGTACCCAAAGGGTAAAATGGCACCCTATTACTAAGACTCTGCTGTTTTGTCCGTCCGTAACCAGGTTGAATCTCATGAGATTCATGGTCATGAACCACGGTTCTACCACCAACAACTCACGTTTCATGAACCGTACTAGTTAAACACTAGAAATTTTTACAGATTATGTAATTCTGTTGCCGCTATAACAACCAAAACTAAAAACAGAATAAAAAAATATTTAAGTGGAGCTCTCATACAGCAGACATGATTTTTGTGCTGTCACCGTACGAAACCCTTCGTGCGCGAGTACGACTCGCACTTGACCGGTTATTATGTCAAATAAGGCAAGTTACAATTTTATTTTTGTAAGATCCTTTAACAATTAAAATGTCTGTGCTCAGCTTCACAGCAGCTGTCACATGAAACGGTTTCGGCTCCTCTGAGCACCGCGGCCTTACATATGACCGGCGTACTAGTTTGACGCGTCGTACGGTTACGAAATGAATTCCTTTCTGGACACACCTCAGAACACTACCTGTGATAGATGCGATAAGAAATGCAAAGAGTAACATCATTTCGCAAGGCCTAAGGCCAAGTGTAATCACCCGGGCGTCCGTAATCATTCACCATGAGATTGGCAATTGATGGTTACTTGATACCCATCAATTGCCAATCTCATGAAAAAATGCTAACTTTCTAATTTTGTTTGGTAACCAACAGTGATAACCAACATACTCATAACGTAAATATTTTATTAATAACGAACAAGCAGTTTTCCTTATGTTAGGTGATTAGCGCCATCCGTGGACATCGGCAATACGTGTGGTTCAACAAATGTGTTGCAAAACCTCTAAAAAAATTGGACCCCGTTTACCTCGTTGTCTGTGAGGCCATGGTACTTATCTGAGCAAAGGCTCTATACAAAGGTTATTTCAGAAATCAATCCCATTATATTTGCATTAAAAATGTTGTTGGTCGAAGTTTTGGCTCAGTTTTCCATTGACGTCCGTCAAGTGGGGGGTGATATTTTTACAGAAAGGTTACATTATTATAAGAACACACGGCAAGTTCAACATGGGTAAACGCGTAGTTTTTGAGAAAAAAAATATTGAGAAACCACAGATAATTGCCATATTTAATGGTGACCTCAGACCTGTCATATTACCCTGATTTGAACTTTTGCTTTCACCACATCCCATAAGGCATTTAGGCATCATGGCAAATTGATTTTATTTAATGTCGAAAACAAGAATAACACACCGTAACACTGAAAAATATTTTTTTTCCATTTTTACTTTTTATTGACATTCCTTGTTTTTCCCCTGTAGTCTTCAAATAAAATAGGTTAGGTTCAACTTTTGTCAAAGAACCAAATTGATTGACCCCAATTCCACTTGGTACAAGTCTATTCTACCCCTAGAGTGCTTTTAGAGCCGGCGGCGCGTAGGGAGAGCAATGTAACAAACCGTAGGCATCGGACGACCCGGAGTGGCCAAAGCTGCGCAAGGGAAGACGAATGCCTGCGATTTGTTAAGCAAGGCATAATGGCTGCTCTTTCTGTAGCGCCGGAGATGTTGCAGTCTCAAAATAGATACAGAAATCCGTAACCCTATTTTTTTCTGATTACGATAGAACCCCTACCCCTCAAAAGGGTTCCCCTTATTTTTTACACTTATTATGTATTTTAATTCATAAAATTTCCTCCAAATTAACAATTAAATAACTCGAAAATAACTCGGGAGGGGGGGGGGGGTTAACTTTTCCTTTTAAGGGGTAATACCCCTCAACCCCCTCTTGGCCCTCAATTCGTCGTAAATGGAACGTCGTACCTAAGTTTTGATTAGGTGATACTCCCCTTATTAATTTTAACTAGTTTCAAGTTATAACATTACAAGTCACTTACCTGACCAATGGAAAGTGTAGCCCATTTTCGTTGGGGGGCAGAGAAACCGACAGTGCCACGATCCACACCGCTATAAAATCGAATACTAAACACGAAATGCTGAGATGGTCCTGTAGCAACCTCTATATGCCTGAAATTAATACACGCATTTCTAAAAAGAAAATTAATCATTTTCTTTAAGAACTGTAAAAAACAACCAAATTAAAAAGCACAATCCAAAATAATTGCTTAAATTAATTTTTAATTAAAATTGTGTGATAGACATGATTGCTAAACATAAAATACAAAGAAAAAAATAATTAATATGTAGATACATTAATGAATTTCAACCTAATTTTATTCATATGAAATAGAGACATATATCTTTCACATATTATCATCAGTAAAATAGACAAAGATATTTCTTGATGTAATATTTCAGGTGATCATGTCTGCACAATATGGAAATTTTATGGAAAACTCCAAAAGGATTTGAACATCCAACCCTGATCTCAAGCACCATCCCCTCTACCAGATAATCATTCAGAAATTTTATTTGCATTTAATTTGGAAAGTTCAATCTAATAATTATAAAAAATAGTTATCAATTAGTCTCTCCTTAACAGATTGATGTCTCATTATTGTTCATAATTTTTTAAAGATAATAATAATAAAAAAATAATGGCAATTTGAGTATTGACAAAGTTAACATTTTTTTATAGAGAATTTAGGAATATCAATTATACAATAAAAAATAACAATATTAGGCTGTATGCGGAATGAAACATAAATAGAATGAAAGTGCATATTGATTTTATAAATTATTTACAAGGTGAGACTTATTCTTAATGTTTATTTAACTATTTTATCATAATACAATTAATTTTATTACTGTGATGAATAAATTAAACATACTTGACATCACTAGGGAAATCATCTGGGTTGATGAGAGCACAGTTTGTCACAGCAAGTTCATCAGATGGGCATTTTGCTGCCTTCATACGCTGAAATATAAAATAAAACCCTAGTCTTCTAATAGTAATATAATATAAATATAATAATTCATTAATTTGCTCTGAACTTATAATAAATCTTAGCAATTTCATGTCGAAATATAATTAATACAATTAGTTGTAACTTAATTTCTTTAATAAATATGATTTCAACTATTTAAGTCTCTGGTAAAAGAATGAAATAAGTGACGTCTTTTAGAGAAATAACTTTTAGAGTATACTACATGCTGTAAGGTATACTGTATCCGTAATTTAGATGAAAACTTACCATTGAAGACATTTTAAAATACAATCAGAATACCTATGTTACAAAATAATATTTTGACAATAATGATTCACGTTAATCGATTGAAGTAAAATATGTTTCTGACACTACACGCTACACATTGATGTAGCGAATGACTGCATTGAATTCTTTTGGCAAAAACCTTTTGGAAATGAATTGACGAGAAGAGACGATCAATACAGCCCTATTCAGTGTTTCCATGCGATGAAACTAAATATTAAGTATAAATAATCATTTGAGATTATTATTTGTATTTGTAAACGTTGACTATTGGCTGGCTTTGATGATTTTGTCGGAAGAGGAAGAGAACCGAAAGTAAAAATTTGACGACAACAATAATAATAAACGACTCTTAAACTGAAGATGAGGAGACATAAAGAAGCTGGTGCACGACGACAACACTATGAAGCTGTCCGCTCGAATATATTTTATGAGAATCATTTACGAAAGCAATTTATTTACGAAACAAATAATGAAGTTGAAAGAATAAGTGAAGTCTAAACCATTTACATAAATACAAAATTTACGAAAATAATCAAGTAACAATAAACAAGTAATATGTGAAAATTTTCATACGTAAGTTGCGATCGATCGGACGCAGATTCTCTAGTAAACCAATAGTTACAAGATGTGAAGACGTGAACGATTCAAAACTCACCAAGCACACACGTATATCGTGGGCTACGAATTGGGACCTCGGTATTTACATTAAAAAATCACCATGTTAGTACAGCACTAATAAAAAAAAAACAATTAAGCTAAAAATATTCAAATAACTTTTACAATTTAATTTTAGTGCTAATAAAAATAAATTCACACTTAAGTTGAAACTTAAAATGTGTAGATATGATTGTCGAAACGAACTCTGCTAGGATTCGAATGCGCTTACCGAATTGAGCGTGTCTACGCGTATCTAGGCACTATGCTAAGATTTTGACTTTTACAACTTTCCTAAAATATATTATAACAATAAAAAATAATTTGGTCTGATTAAAAAATTCCTAATTTATTAAAAGAGAAAACATCATTTGAATACAATATCAAATATAAAACCTATTTATCTATCGATATATTAATGACAATTTAGTCGATAAATTGTCGAAAACCCCTAAATTCAGTCAGTTAAATGGCCAGGTTCGAATTCCACATCACTGAAAAATCATTTATTTTTATCTTGAGTGCAGATTAACACAAAAATAACATAATTATTCCTTAAGAATATTTAGTGAATAATTACTTTGAAAGAATCTCGCCCGGTAAAATTAATTCTTTTACAATTATTACTTTTGGAATGTAAGACCATAAATAAACCGTTTATGAATTTTTCAAAATGTACAAACTAGTCTAGTCTATGCCATAGATAATACATTTATGCTGGTGGTCTATAGAGTTTATACTAAAACTCAGTCTGGCGAAACTAGGAACAAAAAATTTTTCTATGGACTTTACGCGGCAAATAATGGCGGACATTCCTATCACTCTCCCTCAATGCGGTTTCTCTTTCTAGCAATACAAGAAGTGCCATGTTGTTTGTCAAAACTTAATTTCGCACCGCGTATTTTGAATGTAAATGCTTATTTCATTGTAAATTTAAATTGTTTAGAGTAAACTTTCTCACGAAAACTAATGACAGGTGTTCAGAGTTGTACTTTTAATTCAAAAAGCTAAAAAGACGGTGACCTGTGAAATTGGTGAAAATCGAGCAAGTCATTCGAATCTTGAAAAAAGGATGTTTATGGCGAGATTTCCCTTAGATGAAGCCCATATAAGCACTGAAATATGATACTTTGCAGCCATATGTAAGTGGAGCAGGCTAAGAACAAATAAAATTAACAAATTTATCTCATTTAAATTGTGTGCTAGTGATGTACTGCAACTGTAATATCCACATATCGATAATTACGTTAATGTTTATTTTATTTCATTAAAAAAAATAAGAAATCAAATTTTGCGTGAAAGAGTAGGGGCACAAAGTTTACATATTTGAATGATGTGCCTACATAAATGACCAAGGATCGGAATAGGTGAATATTGCAGAATTTTGAAACAATCTCTGTAATATTGATACGTCATATAATTAATTTCGTGCGCTGAATATGGAAGAAAACTAAAATAATTTTTGGATTTTGATTCTATTTTTATATTTCAATTATTTCCAGACTCGTGTACAGCAGGACATCAGCTGTTGGCTGAAGAATCAAGAAACAAATTTCATTTCAGTAATAAAATTTTATTTTAATTAACAGAAACCGTTTTTTATCTTATTTCGGGTCCGTATTAAAGTCCAATCTTCTATCAAATATCCCCTTATCAACATTGGACATAAATACGGACTCGATACTTACCTACTAAAATTAATAAAAAAATATTAAGTGGAAACCTAGGTTTCTATCTAGTATCTTTTATCGATATCGATAAGAAGCTAAGCTGGCTTGGTTAAGCACTATTTGGCTCGTTACGTTGGTACTCATGTTGTTTGACATCTTTGTGATATTTTTGTGGTATGGTTGGTATTGGAGTGCCGCGTAAACTGATATTTTTTGCTAGTATGGGAGTCCCGTCTCCTAAACGTAGTGATTACATTCTCTTTGCTAAAACTAAACACAAAATTACAAATGGCCGACGTTGATCGCGTTTCTGCGGTTTATGTGTATTGACAATATACCTACTTTTTCTTTGTGTCATATGCAACGTCCTGATTGAATTTTCAAATTCTAATCAAAAGTTTCTATCATGAAAGAAAAAATACTCCATTTTATTCTATATTAAGATAAGCTTAAATTAACCTCAAAAATTTACTAAAAATGGAGCTTCCCCAACCGCCTCAAGGTAATATTTAAAAAAACATTTCGATAATTTAAAATGTTATGGGTTCACTTAGTTACCCAAATTGCAAATTTGTAGATCAAGACCTGCGCAACATTATAGACAAGCTGGCTCAGTTTGTCGCAAGAAATGGTCCAGAGTTCGAGAAAATGACTAAAAACAAGCAAAAAAACAACCCTAAGTTCAGTTTCCTGTATGGCGGAGATTACTTCAACTACTACCAGTATAAAGTGACTACAGAGCAAGCAAGTAAGCATAAATCACGGATGGCAAAGATAGAATGCCGCGGTCGCGCCTGATCGCTAGTTTGCGTGTGTGATAACCGTTTCAAGTGAACCTCCGCTGTTTATAGTTCTAAAGCAATCGGCCGGTGGGCAGTCTGCTCCCGCGCCCGCCGGGGCTTATATGGCACAGAACAGGCAATATGTAATGCCCCAACAGGGCGGTGCTACGGCCGCGCAGCTGGGCCTTGCAGCTTCGATGGCAGTGGCACCAGCACTTCAGCAATGGTTGGCAGCAAATTCTGCCCCATCAGCAGCTACCAGCCATCACTCCCACGACATTGACAACATCAATGCACAGATCAACATTCTTAAAGAGCAGATAACTCAATCAGAAAACAATCTCAGTGCGCAACACACAGTAAGTGTTTTCATCATCTTAGTATAATGTAGGCATTGTAACATTAAATGTAATACTAATATTTAATAGATGTAATATGATGTATTCATACAGTTGATTATTATTTTTTATCTCTTTTGAAATTGATAGTTGAATTTTATGTTTAAATGTTAACACTCAATTTTCATAGTATTCTTTGTGCCACATTTAGGAGAGCATTTATTGAATTATACTTCAATTCACAGTTCTAATATTTCTGTTACATTCCTCTTTTAATTGTATAATTTTATTTTTAAATGAATACTTTCATAGCATCACAATTAATAATGAAAATATCCAAAGGATAAATTTAAATTTTTTCCAAGTATAATCTATAGTGTATTTAATTTCTGATCTCTCTCTCCTGCATACAGATGACAACAGATACACTTTAAGAGATCATACTAATTTCAAGTTTGGTACTATCAGAGTTCTACAGGGTTTAACTAAACAATGTTAATTTGTTTATTTTGTCTGCATGTTTGTTCAATTTTACTGTCCTTTTTAAGTGTGTATCTATTTGCAGAATTAGATTTTGATAGGCAGTGATGAATATTTAATATTATTCTGGTATTAATACATTGTTCAAGGCTGTTAATTAAATAACTTTAAAAATGAAATAAAATCTTATATTATCATTGGCAAACATAAACTTTTAAAATTCTTTTAGGTGTTGATACAGCAACAACAGGCTAAAATCAATGAACTGGTCAGCAAAGCTCAGGTGGAAACCATCCAGATCATGGCTGAAGAAAATAACATCAGTCTCAATGAACTAGACACCATCCTTCAACCAATAATTGACTCCTGTACTAAAGACAGCATTTCATCAGGTAAATACTTTTCTATAACCATTGAATTGTCTAAAAGATACAATCTTTTCTATATATAATTAAGTAAGATTGTGGATAAGTTTTTCAGTGAACATATCTTGGCCTACCTTATCTGCCTATTTCAAGTATAGGCTTAAAGCAGTCAGCTCATCAGTATATGTATATACACTAGTGTAAATTTTGGAAGAAATGTCTATGGAAATTATGCAATTCATTTTGCCCTTTCCTTGCCTTTCCTTTTTCCTCGTTGGCCAATTAGATTTATTTTTTATGCAATTAAATTTTAGAATTGCATGAAAAGTAAATAAAATTATATTTCAAAACTTTGTTTTCATATTGTGTCAACTGTTTTAAAATCGGAATGAAATGTACCTGACCTAAAATTTTATGTAGTTTTCTGTTGGTAAACTCCTAATGTTGTTTATGTTTCCATAACTAATTTAGTTGATTTTTAATTTTAGTTTTCCAAATATATTTGAGTTTATTGTATTCATAAATTTATTATGAAAGCAGTCAGTAGCATTTAATACACTAATGTGTATACAGCATGTCGTTAACATCGCGACAATAAATGAACACACGTCTAACGCTACTTGCCAATAATCATAAAAAAATATAAACGTTAAACAAAATCCATAATTAAAAAAAAATATTTTTCAAACAAACTAATAAAGTAAAAAAGAAACAAAATTTGTAACATCCTATACAACTCGCGCCACAGCGTCGTTTTACAAGCCTCTCCTTCTAACAGTATGTTTTGTCTCTTTTAAATTCATTCAACCCATTCATATGCTTTGTGACCTTTACGTCACGCTTTTATAGGTAAAGGTGTTCTAAAATTCTTTGTTTTGGAAAATTTAATAACTCTGTAAATATTGATGTTTAAAGAATTTAAATGTTTAATACAACTTTAAAAAGTTATCCCCTATATGTGTCTTCATTTATTGTCGCGATGGTAACGACACACATGTATGTATTAAATTATATTCATTTAATTATGTAATGTTAAATGAATAGGATACTATTAATTCAACTATGTATAATACAAAACTAACAATTCAGGAAAAGGCTGGATATTGCAACATGCAACATCGCATGACGCTGGGAAAGTTATATCGCAGCACCTCCTGAGGAAAGTCACTCAACCTGGGGCTGCATTCACACAAAAGCTACACATCATTTACCTCGTAAATGATGTTCTACATCACTGGTTAGTACGAAAAGTTACATAAAGCTAGTTATCTGTATTAATGACTTCTTAAAATTAGTGGTTACAGCAATATCAAAATATTTTCTTTGTTGCTAAAAAATGTACAATTAAGCCAGGTTTTCTAGGTAATGTTCTTAAATTGTTTTAATCTATTGTATATATTTCAGTTATTACTTAGCCATTTTGTTAAAAATCATTATGTAATAGAATAGTTTACTTTGAACAGATTATGACTTATTTATCAAATATATACTTTTAGTGTTGTATTCATATTTGTTGAATATTTCATTACAAGAATACTTATTACATAATTTATAAAAATAATTATTTTGTTAATAAATACATTTCATTTTATTGAAATTTTTATTATTTACTGTTGTATTTACTGTCCCATGCTGCTATTATCTATTCGGTGTCTATGATGCTCTTATTCCTAATTACAGTGCACGCAAAAATGCAGAAGATCTCAAGAAAAATTTGGAAAATGTGGTGGTTCCAATGTTTTGCAATGCCAGTATAGGTAACATATTTATAATAATGTCCTCAAGATATAGGTCTCTCTTGTTCGAATGCGCATTTTCATCTTCAAATCTAAAGCATCCTTAGAACACCATCACCTGTGGTTTGTGCCAGTCAGGTAACTTGCTTGAGTCAACTGGCTTGTGCGACAATCGTGTAAATATTTTGCTGTTTCAGCGGTTACTGAAGAACAGGAGGCGAAACTTAACAAGCTGCTTCGCTTGTGGGAATCCAAGTCGAATTATTTCGAGTCAGCCGTGATTGAAAAAATGAAGAGTCCCACTAGCTCCTATCAAGAGTATCAGAACAATTTGATAGCGCAGCATTCTAATGCCATAGCGCATTTAACACAGCAGACCAAATCTACCTTTGAGAAGTATGTGTTATAGGTTTTTAATTGCAGATATTTTCATAGTCATTTATCTAAAAATTATTTTTCACATTTTAGTTATCAAACTCAACACCAAGCATTTGTCGCTCACACTATGCAACAGATACAGCAGCTTGAGATGCAAAAGCATGCTTTAGAACTGCAAAACCAGGAACAAAAAGACAATATGCAGCCACCAAATCTCCAAGTGCCCTTCCAGAACAATACTTTCACAGACCAGAACTTTCCACAAATGGGTGGTTTTCATGAGCAAAGCTATAACTCAAGCAACCAGCAGTATGGCAGTGAGAGTGGAGATAACTATGCTTCTAACAACAGTATGAGTGGAAATGAGAATAGTTATGACAGCCAAACATTTGATCAAATAACAGGACATAAAAAGAATGATATTGAGGAGCCTGATTTGTCAAACCTTCCAAATGTCAATTTCTCGCAACCGCCCCCTGGATATATGCCACAAGAAAATCCAGCATTATTAGCATTCCAGAATGGTCTTCCAGATCTTAGTAAACCTCCACCTGGATTTATTCCATTCCCAGATATAAATAATGAGGACTTAATGCCTTCTGTACCATATTTTGAATTGCCTGCTGGACTCATGGTTCCTTTAATAATGGTGAGTAGTTTTATAATCCATTAATATTATAAATATAGTCCCAGTAAATTTTCTTTTTAATAAAAAGAATGAAAAGAAAATTATTGGAAATAAGTGATTAATAAACAATTGATTTTGTATACATAAATCAAAATAAGTGACTGGAAATACTGAGTTGAGGTAAGTGACATCACTCATTCTTTCTATGCCCATGTTTTGTGTTTTTGTATTTATGTTAAGTGTTTTTCTATGTTACTGCTATCCAAACTGCATCATATAGTTATATATTTTATGTCCGTTTTCTAGCTTGAAGAGGATCGTTATAGACCTTTGGATCCTGCAATGATTCGTCTCCCTCCACCAGCGCCGCCGAACGAGAGGTTACTGGCGGCCGTCGACGCATTCTATGCATCGCCCAACCATGAGCGTCCTCGAGACAAGTATGTAAAGGAATACCCTTTTCTCATATTTATTTATTTTATATAATTAATTATATATTTGGGCATAAATTTCTAAGATAAAGTACTTACGTATTGCAAATATATATGAATATTCATATATATAAATATACAATGGTTGTGTTCATAATATATTTATATCATACTTGCTGTGTGCTCTTGCAGTGAGGGCTGGGAGAAACTGGGACTTTACGAGTACTACAAAGCTAAAAATGCTGCACGGAAGCGCAAAGAAGAGGACATCGCCCAGGGCAGAAGAGAGCGTTCAAAATCACCAAGCCCTATACCTAAAGATCTACAGAAGCAACCCACACCCCCCGGAAGGAGATACCGATCAAAGAGTAAAACGCCGGAAAAGTCATCACCAGTGCGGTCCAAGTCAAGATCGCGATCCCCATCTCCACGACGGAAACAAACCATGTGGAGGAGAGAAAGAGAGAGGGACAGTGAGTACCTATTGTATATACATACAAAAAAATATATTTAAATACATTATCATGCAATGTGAAACATGACATAAACAACCAATTCATACTTTTTAGTACTTATATTACATTGTATTATAGCTCTATACACATTGGTGGTTTTCAAATATTTTAAAAAAAAGGAAACATTATTTTTATACTTTTAGAAAATACAAGTTTCTTAACAATATTAGGATTCACTAGCAATTATTAGCAGCAATTATTATAATAAGCAATTATTTGTTGATTCACCATAAATCATGTGGCAATGATTTTGGTGAACCAACAATTAAAATTGCAATTTTTAATTTTATTTAACGTGCGTTTTGTCAAAGTGAAACTACTTGCGAAAGTAAAATTGTTTATTTTTTACTTTACGCAAGTGTATTCTAGTGTAGTATATTCGTAACCTAAAAGAACAAAAACTTTATGCTAGATGAGTTAATCAACTCTGCTCACTTTAAAAAATTGGCAACACTCCTGTAAAATGTCTAGTGTATCAATGTGGCGCTACTAATGCGACCATAAATCAAAACATATAGAGGAGAATGTTTTAAAATTGTATCAAACATTTACTTTATTTAAACATCAATATGTACCGAGTTATTAAATTTCCCAAAACAAATAATTTTAGAACACCCTTATGTATGAAACAGTAACGTCAAGTTAATTGAATTTAAAAGAGAAAAAACACAATTACACTTGTAATGTGACATTGTGGCAACTAATGAAAAAGTCTTGAATGTATGAATTAGTCAGTTGTAGTTGTATGGGATGTTACAAATTTTGTTTCTTTTTATTTAATTGTTTTGTTTGAAAATTGTTTTTTTAATTATGTATTTTTTTTAAAGGTTATATTTTTTGTGATTATTGGTTGATTAGAGAGTAGTGTTAGAAGTGCGTTTATTTATTGTCGCGGTTGTAATGCTGTATATATCCTTATAGATCGGCGTCGGTCGCGGTCAAGATCAAGATCCCGGTCCAGAAGCAAGTCGCGAGAACGAGATCGGGACCGTGCGAGGGAGTCATCGCCGCGGTCGCGACGAGTCGAACGTTCCAGATCGCCAACGCCCCCCAGTTTTCTGTGAGCTATGTTTTATAAATTGGTATTAAGGCTTTCAGGATCCATACACAGAGAATTACTAGAGCATTTAGACATTATATGTTTCCAGACTTAATTAATATTATGGACCTGAAGGATTAAGTATGTGACAGGGTTGAAAGGATTTACGTTTACTAGACCACTGGACTGAAAAGAATATTACGAGTATTATAGGTTATATTTAGTTATAGATAAAAGGTTATAGATTAGTTATATATAATGGGTTGGTTAGGCTACGACAGGTTCTTTAAAATAAATCGAAACTTAATCGGAAAAAAGTAAATATGAAACCAGTAAGAACATAAACATCAAAATATGTTAAGTTACTGTGTCTGCAGGAATACCCCAATGGTTTATGTCAATTTTAAATAGTTGATTTCCTTAATATTTTATTTTTGAACTAGCTGAATCGAACTAGACCTTGCACTGGATTTTTTCTTAGTTTTCATTGAAACTTTGGAATAAAAAGTATCAAAAACACTGCTGTTCAACAGCTATGTTGTAAACGTAAAAAAAGATTTTCATTATGAGATCAAAAATGAGATTATTTATTTTTGTCATCCCTGTCATGTATAAAGATGGGAATCATTTGCAGGATTGTTTAATATACAAAAATTACTACAGTTTTAATATCTCACTTTTTATATTTATATATAAATATTTTAATAATTTTACCTTACTTTGGTATATTTTATTTGCAATACAATTCTGTGATAATAATACATGTCTGTTACATTTTCAATTACTTAACCTAGTAATTTTTCTCAGCGCTGCCTCCAACAACTCGTTTCCAACAACCTCTAGTGGTTTGGACCCTAGTAATAAAGGTCACCAGTTACTGCAGAAGATGGGTTGGAGTGCTGGTGGGCTGGGCGCCTCGGGACAGGGTATCGCCGAGCCGATCAGCGGGGGCGCGGTGCGGGATCGACAGGACCAATACAAAGGTAAATGTTCACAATGTGTTTTATGAGATTGCATTGGCAGAGGCCACTTAAGAAGTCTAGTTCTCACCAAGAAGATTATTCCGGCGATCTTATTATATTTGTCCAGCGGCACTGTTTCAACAGTGCCGCTGGACAAATATATATCGCATATATAATTAGTTACTGATATTAAAATATTAGTATATGTCGGCAATTCGTTGCATTATGGCTCCAATAGATACGATTACTTCACTTGAGGTTAGAATATTCGTGTTCGCGCTACTGATTACCCGAACGACGAACGACAATTGGCCCATACTGAGTTTCGGTGTAACCAAAACTTTCGACAAATTTTTGGCCGAAACCGAATTTTAGGGGTAATAATTCACTTTATTTTTAACATTATTTTATTTTGGGTATTTTTTATTAGACATGCAGAAAAGGTTATGTCAAAATTTAATGTACACCATGACTTCAAAATGTTATGGCAACTTGGAATTTTAATATATGACATGACAGTATTAAGATATGATAGAACCAAGACTTGTTTTGTCGGGTACTTTATTTTATTGATTTCTTTTTATATTATATATACATACATTATATTGAATGAATATGTAGATGTATAAATATAATATTACAAAAGAGTAATTTAGAATTAGGATTTGCACCCTTCTATTTGAAGTCTGATATATTTAAAAATTACAAATGTACATTTCAGTTTAATGTAAAAGTTATATTTAAATTTGCCCAGCCGTGCTTTAAGAAATTATAGCTAATGCATAAGTCATAAATTTAATATTTGGTAATAATAATAAATTCCCATGTACAATAAGTATAATATGTACGTAAGTGACAATTGTACCCTTAGTACAGTTGTCACTTTTGGACAGTCTCAGTTTCACTGTCATATTTGTTCGCGAATTACGTTTAGTACTTAATTCTTACATTTTGTGTCATTTTTTTTCAAGCAGAATGTTTCCTTTAATCTATAAAAAAACCAAACAACTTCAAGGTTTATAAATCAAACTTTCTTTAATAAAAAGCGTCCTTGGTTTCAGATGGTCAAAATGTTTTTTTTTTGTATATTGATATCAGTGTAAGATGTAGACTAATTTTAATTGTATTTTTATAGGTGTTGGCGTAAACCTAAATGACCCATATGAAAATTTCAGAAAGAACAAGGGTGCAGCATTTATTACGAGAATGAAGGAGAGAGCTCTCGAAAGGTCAACGTGATTGACTATAGACTTTATACATGAATGTAAATGTGTAAAATGGCGAATGTATGTGTGGTTGGGATATGATTTATTTTATCTAAATCATCTTAAATAAAGTTATGAAATTTTTATACTTGATTTTTATTTCATTTTACAATGTTTATAATTCAAAATCATCCTCATAATTATCTTTGAACTCGGAAAGTCTTGCTAGACGCTCCTTAAACTCCTCTTCTTCACACCCTTCCCCTCTAAACTTGTGCAATTTAGCAAATTTGATTCTGCTCACTTCTCTGTGTAGTTTCTCAATCATGTTTGATAAAAAGTTTCCATTATGGTAACCAGCGATAACGGCACAACTCTCGATAGTATTTCCATTATTTTCGCTAGAGACAAGTCCATATTTGTTTAAATTTTCTGAGAATATATTTGGATATGGTGTTTTAATTTCCAATGGCTTTTCACATACCGTAACATTTGTTGCAGAAAGAAAATTGTTTGCTTGAAAATACAATTCAAACATTTCCTTGATAGTATTGCACCTGTATGCAGGCAAGTTCATTTGTTCTTTTGCCTCGTTCATTGGTGCCTTCAAGTAATTTTCTGGTATTCCTCTAACAGTAATTAATTGGAAAATTTTGTCAGTCGCGAGCTTACAACTGGGCGTTATTGATGTAAAAATTGGTTTTGCAGTAGTATTCAAATATTCTATTAAATATTGTGATTCGTTCATCGCAAATGGAAGTCCAAGTGACGCAGCCGCCATTTTTCTTCCATAACCAGTCATATCAGTACATATATCGGAAAGAGTGAAGCAGTTACTTTTTAGTCTATATTTTTGACTTAATGTATCAATGGCTGAAGCCAGTATAGCAGAAGAGTGGTAATACAATTCGGAATTATATTTTAAGTGTTCAAATACTCTAGCATTTCCTGGTTTTCTCCAGCCTTTCTCACCAGTACAAAGTGGCACAAAAAATGTAGCATGTTGTGATAATTCTTCAATAGAAAATGCAAAGTTAATTAATCTATTTGTATCCTTCAAATTAGATTTTTCCCGTTCCTCTTGTGTAGATGAATTATTATCACTAAAATGTGATGCTATTATTGGATAAGCTAAAATTGGTTTAGAATAATAATCGCATAAATGTTCAATACTGCCAAGGGCAAGCCCAGCAAAACCATCAGTACCATCAAAAGTAACTTGGAAACCTTGCATGCTGTCACATTCTTCAACATATTTTCTAATGTTGTCAGAGAATGATTCACCATATTCATGTTTCCATATTGTCTGACCCGTATGATAAATATCAAAGCCTTCCTGCAAAAGAAATATGTGTGAAAAATAGCACCCAGCATTTTATCACTGGGTAACTGCAATATACAAAATAAGTTAAAAAAAAAGGGGAGTGATATTCTAAGGAGGGAATGTGAACAGCACTTTTTATTCACTGCTAGAGTTTGGACTCAGAAATGACTATTGAATTTGCTGTGAATGAAAAAATAAAATTTTCAGTTCTAGCAAATAACAGGAAGTAATAATGATTACCCTAATTTGTACCATTCTTTAATGGCAAATTTATTAATAGATGAAATAATAAACTTTTAAATTTTATTAGTAATCCTGGTCATAATCCAGCACACTATCAATTTCAACATGCTTTGATAATTTGGAGTATGTGAGAAGGTGGCAAGCAAGCAGGCAGTTCATCTGATGTTTAAGGGATAACCACCACCCATAGTCATCTGCAACACCTTTGTTAATTGTAGTCACATTTTAATAAAGTGGGCCCTGGCTATCTCGCTCACCAGACGCAACACAGAAATAACACTTCACACATGTCTTCTGTCATGTTGTGGTACTTTCACGGAAGGACCTGCCCATTTGTGCACAAGCGAAGGCTGTTATGGGTTCCTACCTCAGCTAAATTTATTTATATCAGATTTTGCAGAAGTTTTCTTCATTCTTTCCTGAAAGGATGTGATTTTACACAGTCAAACACATTAACACTGTTATGATATTGCTGTCTCGTAATATTTTAACCTACTTGCAGATCTGTATCCAGATGCTTGCTTTTAATAGAATATACTCGAGGAATCACAGTCAAATCCTGGTGTCAAATGAAATAATGTTAAGTACTGACTTATCTTGTGCTTAGCAGCACTAAGCAGTGGAGGAAAACATTGTGAGGAAACCTGCATATCTTCAAAAAATAATTTAAAGATCTGTGAAGATCACTAATCCAAAATAAGTCTTGGGGTGGACTAAGCCCTAATACCAGAGAATACTCATTATAGATGAAGCTTTTGCCCAACAGTGGAATATATTTGCTGTCACTTTACGTTTACTTGAACGGTCTGAACACGTATAAAAAAAAAGATATTACAGAATAAAAAATGTTAACTTAAGTTTGGTCACCCAAGTATTATCAATTGAAACATACTTACAGTGTCAGCACCATGTTGGAACTCTTTTATAACATTTATTGATCTTGAATGTAGCCTAGGGTATAAATAATCAGTCCATGTGTTAACATCATTTTCTAAAATATATTTCTTTGTTACTATATCTGTAGGAGGTTTTGTATCAATATCCACAAGAAATTCATTTTTTTCTGCATTAGGTGTTTCGATTTTCTCGATGGCATGCCATTGATAATCATCTTGTACTGGATCATCTGGTAAACCGCCACTATCAGGTAAGGATTTCAAAGAACCTTTTAAGTCTGCTAATAGCAACCTTGGTGTATATGTGGTTTCTCCTTTAACATTTTGCCCTTCTCTGTATAAAATATCGGGATTAGTTTCATATTTTACCGTGCCTGTGTAATCAAAACTTAGCTCCTGTATATTCCAAAAATGTGCACCTATGTAATTTGAATAATGTCCAAACTGAAGTGTAAGTATTTCTCGAGTAGCCATAGCAGTATAATTAATATATAAGTATACCAGTAAAATTATTTACTAGATTGCCATTTAATCCTAGAATACAACTATATCTAGCTTCTTTTTTTAGATCTTCTTACACATATGTATTATTCTTATACATATAGTTCTTAAGAAAATAATCATAAAAAATAAAATATCACAGAGCTAAGTTTATTTTCTATGTTATTTTGTTTTCAGTAACTGTTGATTTGTCTAAAACAAAACACAAAAAACGTTTAAAAATCTCGATTAATTGGTTTAACAGAGTTAGCAGAGTTTGTGAACAAAAGCAGCTATTAGAATTAAATTTATTAATCAGAAAGACAATTGAGGACCCTCCTGTAGAGGTACAACTCCATTCATCTAATCATTTACTGAGAATTTCCATGATACTTTTATAAACAAGAGGAACATATGTGAGACTATTCAGAATAACATCTTTTGTCAGGAGTTAAAATATAATATTACCAAACTCACAACTAAATAAAATATCACCATGTATTTTGAGATGGATTGTCTGAAGTTACCATCTTAAAAAAACACACATGGAATTTATGGAATATCAACGAATATACATACTTACTGTTTAACCGGCACAAACCAAGAATATTCATGAGTATTGTAACATTTAAATTAAAAAATTTAATCAAATTTGGATCTGTCATAAAGAAGCAAATTTTTTTCTGACAACTGACAACTAGAGAAAAAGCAAAACAAATATATATTTTTTTAATTTATTGTGACACAAACTTTGAATCTTTAACCAAAGTTATGCACATAAATTCCCTAGCGCAAGAGACAATTGTCTTTTGCGGAACATTGTTAATTCATTCCAAATCTGTTGATTACTTGATTGATGCTTACGTTGTTGCAAGATTTGTTTTGTCCACCCACGCTAATTTTTTTAAATCGGCAACGTCGTCTCCCGTTCGGGTGAGCGAAGTTAGTTATCTACTCTCCTGCTATTGCAACGCGCTACACAAATTCGATTTGGTGTCGTCCACCATGGCGCACGGCCCTGGGATAGTAACGAGAACCGAAGGTCGGTCGTGCAATGTATAACTAATAGGAAATTACCCGCGTGAGTATTAGACTAATTAATACTCACGCGGGTAATTTCCCTTTTCAAGCATGACCTTAAGGTGTCGGACTCTGAGATGGTTAGTATACCTAGATAGACTTTTTATATGGTATAGAAAGAAATCATCCCCGAATTAACTTGAGTGGTGAAAAGTGCAGAAACATTCTTTATTTCTTACTAAAAGTATGATTATGATAAGTTTTTAATGCCTTACTTGAGAAGTGATTGTTTCCACATACAAAACTGTCATTCCCCTTTTCACCCCCTACGGGTTATTTCGAGATATATACATATACAGCGTGTCGTTACCATCGCGACAATAAATGAACACACGTCTAACGCTACTTGCCAATAATCATAAAAAAATATTAACGTTAAACAAAATCCATAATTAAAAAAAAAAATATTTTTCAAACAAACTAATTAAGTAAAAAAGAAACAAAATTTGTAACATCCTATACAACTCGCGCCACAGCGTCGCATTACAAGCCTCTCCGTCTAACAGTATGTTTTGTCTCTTTTAAATTCATTCAACCCATTCATATGCTTTGTGACCTTTACAAATAAACTTTACGTTACGCTTTTATAGGCAAGGGTGTTCTAAAATTCTTTGTTTTGGAAAATTTTATAACTTTGTAAATATTGATATTAATAAAATTTTTATGTTCAATACAACTTTAAAAAGTTATCCCCTATATGTGTGTTCTTTTATTGTCATTTTTCAACTTTAAAAAGTTATCCCCTATATGTGTGTTCTTTTATTGTCGCAATGGTAACGACACGCTGTATATATATATATGCCAACAGTATAATACGTATATAAATATTTATTTATTTATTTACACACTTTTTTGTACTAACTGGTACAAACGGCGGGCTTAATGCCATAAGGCATTTTCTACCAGCCAACCGGAAAGTTAGTGAAAGAGAAGTGTAGGTGCTAGCTATATAAGGATTATATAATATGTATACAAACATTATGATAACAATTATTAACTTACAACAATAAATATTATAATAGGTAAATATATATATATATGTACGTACATAAAACGGAAATATCTATCAAACGTAATCCATACTACTGATCATAAGACGACGAATTAAAATATTCCTTAACTTTAGCTTTAAAAATAAATTTATTCGGTGATTTTCGAATTTCACGAGGAAGGGCGTTCCAGAGTCGAGCAGCTGTAACAGCGAAGGATTTAGAGAGAAAACCGGTACTGTGAGAAGGAATAAGCAACGTAAGATTACCAGCAGATCGAAGATTGCAGCAATGAGAGGTACCCAGGTACTGAAATTTAGACTTCAGATACGCTGGGGCAAAAGGATCGTTAATGATACTATAAAGCGTACAGAGGATCCGAAGATTCCTCCGTTGGGAAATATTCAACCAGTTTAGTTGAGAGCGATATGATGAAATATGGTCAAACTTTCGAACACCATAAATGAAGCGAATACATTGATTAAGGAGGCGATCCAATTTGCTAAGAACCTCCATGTTTGCATCTGAGTAACACACATCAGCGTAATCGAGATGTGGAAGTATAAGTGATTGAACTAAAAGTTTTTTAGTATAAGGTGGTAAGAAATTTTTAAATCTATATAATTGTCTCAAGTTGGAATTAACTTTACTGCTGACTTCATTAACTTGCGCTCGCCAGCTGAGCGAGGAATCAATAGTTAACCCAAGATTCTTGACTTTTGGTGAAAAGGGAATGACTTGATCATTGTACATCACGGGCATCACGCAATTATAATCTATTTTGCATAACTGGCGTTCACTCCCTAGAATTATGGCTTGGCATTTGGTGGGATTTACAGTAACACCGTACTTTTTCGACCAGTTGAAAATATGCTCGAGATCAGAGTTAATCTGGGTAACAGCATCATGTAAATGCGCTGCTTCAGCCTGGGCATACAGCTGCAGATCGTCGGCATACAGATGGTAAGAGGAGCGAAGATTACATGTAACAGAATTTATGAAAAATGAAAAAAGTATTGGTGACAGTATTCCGCCTTGCGGAACACCGGTGGCCAGATCGCACAAATTGGAGAACTTTCCATCGACAAATATGTATAATATATATGTTTATCTGCGTATGTACGTATGTAAATAAGCATATACTTTTGTGTGTATGTGTATATATGTATATATAATTGTATGTATCCGCTTTAATAATGTATGTATATTCCTTTTGCACCACCTACGTAGTACACGTTTCCTTATATTTATATATATATGCTCAAACATGAATAGTACTTAATCCTAATAATACTCAAGTGATTGAGACAGATAATGTTCTCTCTAACTAAATTCTTAAAGGTGGCTATAGATTGCACCTCTCGTAAAACTAAAGGCAGGGAATTCCAGAGCTTAGTAGCCTGTATGGTAAAAGATTTTTTTAAAAACGACGTTTCGTAAATTGGCACCTTTAAAATCAGCTTCCTCGAAGAACGCACATCTTCCCCTGCATGCCCTACAAACTCAAATTTCTCCTTTAGATATGGTGCAGTAAAACCATGAAACAAGACACAGTACAAAACAGAAAAGCCATCTTCAACCTCAAAAGGGTCTGTGCCAACACTATGGTCACACGGCTAATGATTGTTTCGCTCACCCTAGGCACAACAAATGCACTGGTGACCACGGCACGCCCGATTGTACGCGGCCGCGTAAAGATTGCGCTGATCCACCGGACTGCGTCAATTGTCACACCATCGGCCACTAGGCTAGCTACAGGGGCTGCGCTAAGGCCCCAACAACTCCCGCGAAAATAACGTTGCCCAAATCCGCGCTGGGCGAAACGGGCATTCAATAGGCGCCGAGGCCACAGGTGCAGTCATCACCACCGGTATTCACCGGAAACAATGACGATCCGTTCGCCCAAATCGCAAACATCTGCGGCTTATTAGACCGCATAAATAGACAAGAGCTCGCCGTATTGTCTTACGAATTATCGGCCGTCACATCTGGCCCCGAGCGCCTCAAAGCTATTAGGGACCATAAAACACTTGTAGGGGCTCCTACAAGTGTTCTGGAAGTTTACAAGCCAGCCGTAAACTTTATGGTCCGCGCAATAAAACCGCGCTCCACCGCGTCGTTAGTTAGAAATAATAAAAAAACTTTTATGGAAAGTACAACCGCAGTTAGATCAAAACCTCGGGCTCTGGTTGTTTCGTATTTCAACGCAAACGGCATTATGAGTCAAAGGGACGAAATCGCAGACTTCCTTTGCGATTATAATATAGATATATTTCTAGTGCAAGAGGCCTTCTTAAAACCTAGTGTACGCGATCTCAGAATCGCAAACTATAAGTCCGCCACGATCGGTTAGCAAACCGTCTGGGAGGCGCTTTAATTTATTACGTACTTACTAACTTAAACGTACTTACTGTGCTTAATACTGTAAATGATGTTTTTGTTCTCTACTATTTGTTTAAATAAAG